AGATTAGTGGTCACCAGGGGTTGGTGGGGAGGGAAATGGGAATGACTATTAATGTACACAGGGTTTCTCTTTGGGATGATGAAAATATTCTAGAAATTTGATAGTGCTGATGACTGCACAACTTTGTGACTATACTAAAAATTCCTGAATTCTACACTTTGAAAAAGTGAACTTTATAGTATGTGAATTACAGCCAATAAAGCTGCCATAAAAAAATCAATATCCCCCCACTATTAAAATCAAAGAATTATTGGGGCACCTGGGTGGCTCAGTCGTTAAGCGTCTGCCTTCGGCTCAGGTCGTGATCCTGGGGTCCTGGGATCGAGCCCCGCATCGGGCTCCCTGCTCCACGGGAAGCCTACTTCTCCCTCTCCCACTCCCCCTGCTGGTGTTCCCTCTCTCACTGTGTCTCTCTCTGTCAAATTAAAAAAAAAAAAATCAAAGAATTATTTAAAAAATCAATAAGGCTTAATCTTTTTAAAAAAATAAAGAAACTCTATTATCTGATGTTATTGAAGAAGGTTGGACAGTTAATTTAAACAGTTAATTAAAAAGTAAACCATTATATAAAGATACATATAATCTGTAAACATTTTATTCCAACATAAAACATAGAAGGGTACATTCATTTAACTATCTTTGATATAAGGCCAAGGCCTTTTTCTTTAGGTTTGAGTTTGTTGATTAGTGCCCTCTGCCATCTTTCTGGCATAAGCCATACTCCCTGGATACAAAGCAGACCAGAACTCAGACACATGGGAAGAAATACAATTCCTTCCAAGTTTTTGCCAATTCTCCCTTTTATCAGACATCCTGCACAAATTCAGATTCTCTTGGCCTTACCCCTCTCTTATTCCAGCGACTGCTACCAACACTGTTCTGTGTGGACTCTATAAACTTCATGCCCGCACAACCTGCCAATGCTCAGACCTCAATTCACGTCATGTTGCTGAGGTCCCCCTGCTTCCTGCCCCTTGATGTCAAAGTGAATTCTGCCTTGTGCAATTTGGAAATTCAGGAGTTACGTTTGAACCTTTGAAGAGTGGCAGATTAGAGCTGGGGGTAAATTCTTCCCCCTTTCTCCCTAACCTATCCCTGCCACACTGTCCTGAGGTGTACTTTATGTGGCTTCTCAGAGGCTAGTCCATGAGATTAAGCATTTAGTTGCACTTAGTGGTCCAGGTATAATGATTAGTAATGTTTCCTTTCACTCTCAAAAGTGTCTGTATACGACATGATACTCTATGTAGAAAACCCAAAAGACTCTACCAAAAATTTGCTAAAACTGATAGAGGAACTCAGCAAAGTTGCAGGATACAAAATCAATGCACAGAAGTCTGTTACATTTCTATACACCAACAATGAAGCAGCAGAAAGAGAAATCAAGGAATCATTCCTGTTTATAATTGTACCCCAAACCATAAGATACCTAGGAATAAACCTAACCAAAGTAGTAAAAGATCTGTACTCTGAAAACTATAGAACATTTATGAAAGAAATTAAGGAAGACACAAAGAAATGGAAAAACGTTCCATGCTCATGGATTGGAAGAACAAATATTGTGATGTCTACATTACCCAAAGCAATCTACACATTTAATGCAATCCCTATCAAAATAACACCAGCATTTTTCACAGAGCTGGTACAAACAATTCTAAAATTTGCATGGAACCAGAAAAGACCCCAAACAGCCAAAGGAATGTAGAAAAAGAAAACCAAAGCTGGAGGCATCACAGTTGTAGACTTCAAGCTGTATTACAACGCTAATCATCAAGACAGTACGGTACTGGCACAAAAACAGACACATAAATCAATGGAACAGAATAGAGAACTCAGAAATGGACCCTCAACTCTTATGGTCAACAATCTTTGACAAAGCAGGAAAGAATATCCAATGGAAAAAAAGACAGTCTCTTCAACAAATGGTGTTGGGAAAATTGGACAGCCACATGCAGAAGAATGAAACTGGACCACTTTCTTACACCATACACAAAAATAGACTCAAAATGGATGAAAGACCTAAATGTGAGACAGGAATCCATCAAAATCCTAGAGGAGAACACCAGCAGCAACTTCTTTGACCTTCGCCACAGCAACTTCTTGCTAGACATGTCTCCAGAGGCAAGGAAAACAAAAGCAAAAATGAACTACTGGGACTTCATCAGGATAAAAAGCTTTCACACAGCCAAGGAAACAATCAACGAGACTAAAAGGCAACCTACAGATATTTGCAAGAGTCTTATCAGATAAAGGGCTAGTATCCAAAACATATAAGGAATTTATCAAACTCAATGCCTGAAAAACAAAAAACCCAGTCAAGAAATGGGCAGAAGACATGAACAGACATTTCTCCAGAGAAGACATACAAATGGCTAACAGACACATGAAAAAATGCTCAACATCACTGAGCATCAGGGAAATACAAATCAAAACCACAATGAGATACCACCTCACACTGGTCAGAATGACTAAAATTAACAACTCAGGAAAGGACAGATGTTGGTGAGGATGTGGAGAAAGGGGAACTCTCTCTTTTTTTTAAAAAATTTTATTTATTTATTTGAGAGAGAAAGTGAGAGAGAGAAAGAGCACAAGAGGGGGGAGCGGGAGAGGGAGAAGCAGACTCCCTGCCGAGCAGGGAGCCCGATGCGGGACTCGATCCCGGGACTCCAGGATCACGACCTGAGCCGAAGGCAGTCGCCTAACCAACTGAGCCACCCAGGCACCCAAAGGGAACTCTCTTACACTGTTGGTGGGAATGCAAACTGGTGCAGCCACTCTGGAGAACAGTATGGATGTTCCTCAAAAAGTTAAAAACAGAACTACCCTATAACCCAGCAATAGCACTAGTAGGTATTTATCCAAAGGATTCAAAAATAGTGATTCGAAGGGGCACATGCACCCCAATATTTATAGCAGCAATGTCCACAATAGCCAAACTATGGAAAGAGACCAGATGTTCATCAATGGATGAATGGAGAAAGAAGATGTGGTACACACACACACACACACACACACACACACACACACACACAGGAATATTACTCAGCCATCAAAAAGAACAAAATCCTGCTATTTGCAATCACATGGATGGAACTAGAGTGTATTATGCTAAGCAAAATAAGTCAGTCAGAGAAAGACAAATACCGTACGATTTCACTCATATGTGGAATTTAAGAAACAAAAGCTCATGAACATAAGGGAAGGGAAGAAAAAATAAAATAAGATAAGAACAGAGAGGGAGACAAACCATAAGAGACTCTTAACTATAGAAAATCAACTGAAGGTTGCTCGAGGGGAGGGGTTGGGGAGATGAGGTAATAGGGTGATGGGCATTAAGGAGGGCATTTGATGTAATGAGCACTGGGTGTTTATGCAACTGATGAATCACTAAATTCTGTCCCCAAATTAATAATACACCATATGTTAGCTAACTTGAATTTAAATAAATAAAAAAAAAAGGGTCTGTATATGCACGATAAATGATAACTCTAGCCAAAGTGGCAGAGGCAACCAAAACTTTCTGGCAGAAGCTGAAATGGAAACCACTGGATCACAAGTCCAGCTGGTAAGGGAAACCAAGACAAACTCTAGAAAAGTGACATTTGGGACTTTATATTAGATGTGGTAGTGGTCTCACCCTACGACCCAGCAATTGCACTACTGGGTATTTACCCCAAAGACACAAATGTAGTGATCCGAATGGGCACATGTACCCCAATGTTTACAGCAGCAATGTCCACAATAGCCAAACTATGGAAAGAGCCTAGATGTCCATCAACAGATGAATGGATAAAGAAGATGTGGTATATATATATATATAATAGAATATTATGCAGCCATCAAAAAAATGAAATCTTGGGGCACCTGGGTGGCTCAGATGGTTGGGTGTCTGCCTTCAGCTCAGGTCATGATCCCGGAGCCCTGGGATTGGGTCCCACATTAGGCTCCCTGCTCCTTGGGAAGCCTGCTTCTCCCTCTCTGTCTGTCTCTCATGAATAAATAAAATCTTTAAAAAAAAATGAAATCCTGCCATTTGCAACAATGTGGATGGAACTAGAGGGTATGATGCTAAGCGAAACAAGTCAATCAGAGAAAGACAAGTATCATATGATCTCACTGATATGAGGAATTTGAGAAACAAGACAGAGGATCATAGGGGAAAGGAAGGAAAAATGAAACAAGACAAAACCAGAGAGGGAGACAAACCTTAGGAGACTCTTAATCTCAGGAAACAAACTAAGGGTTGCTGGAGTGGGGGGTGGGGTGGCGGGAGGGATGGGGTGGCTGGGTGATGGACATTGGGGAGGGTATGTACTATGGTGAGCACTGTGAATTGTGTAAGACTGATGAATCACAGACCTGTACCCCTGGAACAAGTAATATATGTTAATTTAAAAAAATTTTTTTTAAAAGATGTGGTAGTGGGCGCCTGGGTGGCTCAGTTGGTTAAGCGACTGCTTTCGGCTCAGGTCATGATCCTGGAGTCCCGGGATCGAGTCCCGCATCGGGCTCCCTGCTCAGCAGGGAGTCTGCTTCTCCCTCTGACCCTCACCCCTCTCATGTGCTCTCTCTCTCTCATTCTCTCTGTCTCAAATAAATAAATAAAATCTTTAAAAAAAAAAAAAGATGTGGTAGTGGTCTCAAGGACCTCTTTAAGTTAACGATACAGTGTCAGTCAGCATATCTTCAAGCAGATATTGTGTAATAACTGAGGTTTTAGATGTGGGAGAGGTTGGAGCTGGAAATGCTTTAACTCTCACTGACTTTGTTCTCTAAAGAGAGAAAGACAGATTACAGATAGGAAAATTAAGTGTTAGAAAGGCTTTTTAAAAAACATTTTATTTATTCATTCATGACACAGATATATATATATATATATATATAGAGAGAGAGAGAGAGAGAGAGAGAGAGCATGAGCAGGGAGAGAGGCAGAGGGAGAAGCAGGATCCCTGTGGAGCAGGGAGTCCAATGCGGGGCTCGATCCCAGGACCCCAGGATCATGACCTGAGCTGAAGGCAGACGCTTAACCATCTGAGCCACCCAGGCGCCCCTAGAATGGCTTTTAAATTTTAATTCTTTTAACATACTTAAACCAGTCTTATTACTCTTATAGATAAAGCTTGAAAAGCTGTGCCCTTGGAGTTTGTGATTTTTCAAAGAAAAAACGGTGTTCAAAACAGGCTTCAGAAATGATTGTCTACTTGGGCCCTCCTAAAAGAAAATTAAAAATGTTCAATTCAGCCTTAAAACTTTGATAAAGAATTTATTGATAAATCATTTTCTTTCGAAAATTTCATTTGAGAGATCAATTTATGGATGCATATTACCTGAGTAGGTAGAGTGTCCTCCATATGACTCATTCCACTGGTTGTCATCTTTATGAATTCAGTTAACTGTTAAGTTTCATCACTTCCACAGCAGTCCAAGGTTTCAAAGTGTACTGAACTAAAACGGGTTCAAAGCATTCCCTGGGGTCACAGCAGGTATAAACTGACTTTTCTACTGCAGATATAATTTTATTTAGCGCATGAACTCTCTGGGCTGTGAGAAGACGCAGAGAGGCTGGCAACATGCCCAGAGCTTCTCCAAGGTTCTAAGGCCTAACTTGCTAAATTCTGTTTATATGAGAATGAAATATTTGGCAAAGGGTCCAGAAATGTCTGGAAATTATTTGTAAAGGAAGAAAGTCATCTAAATATAATTATCTTGAAAGGATCAACGTGTACCAGAGTACAAATGTAATGGTAAATTTTATGAATTTATTATTGCAGAAATGACACATGTGAAAAAGTGGAAATGCAGAAACTGTCTGACTTAAAATATGAGTAGAAATTTAGAGATATGACGGTGCCTGAGTGGCTCAGTCATTGAGCATCTGCCTTCGGCTCAGGTCATGATCCCGGGGTCCTGGGATCGAGTCCCGCGTCCAGGTCCCTGCTCAGTGGGGAGCCTGCTTCTCCCTCACTCTCTGCCTGCCGCTCCCCCTGATTGTGCTCTCTTTCTCTCTGTCAAGTGAATAAATAAAATCTTAAAAAAAAGAAAAGAAATTTAGAGGTATCAAGTGGATTTATCCCAAGAACTCAAGATTGGTTTAACATTAAAAAAGTCAATCAATGTAACTTATCATATTAACAGACTAAAAACCATATGATCATCTCAAGAGATGCAGAATGATTATTCGACAGACTCCAACATGTATATCCAATAAAAACCTCAGAAAACTAGTAATAGTAGGGAACTTCAAATTGATAAGGAGCACCTATTAACAACCTACAGTTAATATCATACCTAATGGTGAAAGACGGAATTCTATCCCCTATGCATTGGATATCCATATAGGAAAAAAGAACTTTGATCCATATCTTGCACCATATATAAAAATAAACAAAAAGTAGATTATAGATCTAAATGTAAGACCTAAACTAAATGTTTAAAATTAAAAACACTGACCATAACAAGTATTCGCAAGGATATGGAGCACCTGGAACTCTCATATACTGATGATGGGATGAAGAGAAAATAAAATGGTACAGCCATTTTGGAAAGACAGTTTGGAAGCTTCTTATTTATTTATTTATTTATTTATTTATTTATTTATTTATTTATTTATTTGACAGAGAAAGACACAGCGAGAGAAGGAACACAAGCAGGGGGAGTGGGAGAAGGAGAAGCAGGCTCCCCGCGGAGCAGGGAGCGCAATACGGGGCTCAATCCCAGGACCCTGGGATCATGATCTGAGCTGGAGGCAGACGCTTAATGACTGAGCCACCCAGGCGCACCAGTTTGGAAGCTTCTTAACAAGTTAAGCATAGGGGCACCTGGGTGGCTCAGTTGGTTAAGTGTCTGACTTTTGGTTTTGGTTCATGTCATGATCACATGGGTCATGGGATTGAGCCCTGCGCTGGGCTCCGTGCTAATCGCGGAGTCTGCTTCAGATTCTCTGCCTCTCCTTCTCCCCCTGACCTTACCTCTGCTCGTGCACACTCTCTCTCGCAAATAAATAAATAAAATCTTAAAAAAAATTTAAGCATATATTTAACATATGATCCAGCCATTTCCTCCTTGGTATTTTCCAACAGAAATAAAGCATATGTCCATACAAAGAATTTGTACCACATGTTCATACTAGCTTTGTTTGTAGTAGCCAAAAATCGGAAACTACCCAAATGTACAGCAGCAGGTAAATGGGTTATAACCACACAATGGAGTACTAGTAAGCAATAAAAAGGAATGAACTAAAACATGTAATACAGATGAATCTCAAAATAACTATACTGAGTGAAAGAAGCCAGAAATAAAAAAAGAGTACTTACTGTGTGACTCCATTTATATAAAATTCTAAAAAATGCAATCTAATCTAAAGCAACAAACAGATGAGTGGCTGCTGTGGGAAGACAGGAAAGAGAAGCAAGGGGTACTACAGAGAACCAAGAGGAAACGTTTTGGGGTGATGGATATGTTTAATATCTTAATTGTGGTGATGGTTTCATGGGTGTATACATGTCAAAACTATCAAATGGTACAGTTTAAATATGTGCAGTTTATTTTATGTACTTTTATTATACTTCAAAAAAATCTGTTAAGAAAATTTAAAATTTACACATTATCAGTTTAGAGGAGATTTGTGCTACTGTTTCCCACCCCCCAAAACACAGCACATAGTTTTTGTAGGATGAACAGTTTTTACAACTAAAAAATAAAATAATAAAATCAAATAAAATTTACACATGGTATATAAACACACACAAATGTGCTTATCATCATTAGTTAATAAGGAAATATAAATTAAAACCACATTGAGATCCAATATAGTTATTGGGGGAAGGTTAAAGCTTGTTTAATATTAATATGGTTTCATATTATAGCAAAAATTCATCTGATTGGGGCGCATAAGTGGCTCAATCAGTTAAGCATCTAGCTCTTGGTTTCAGCTCAGGTCATGATCTCAGGGTCCTGGGATTGAGCCCATGTCTCCATGCTCAGTGTGGAGTCTGCTTGAGGATTCCCTCCCTCTGCTCAATCCCGCCCCCCCGAACACCCTCTCGCACACATGCATGCACTCTCTCTCTCAAGTAAATAAATCTTTAAAAAAAATTCATCTGATTTACAAATAACATGAACTCCTAATCTTTAAAGGAAAAGGTCATTTTCTGCTTTTATTACAATGTTTTATGGAGCCTCTGCTCTGGTGTCATCCTGTCCAGCTCCAGTAGTCATGTGGAACAGTCTAATATGTACCATTAGCAACCCAGGTTTGTTCCCTGTTAGTTTCCACTAAAGGAAACAGGGTTCCTTGGTGACAATGTAGTCCATGTTTGAGAAAGAATAATTCAGGCTGCGTTTTGAGTTATCTTAATTATTATCACAAAGAAAAAATATTTTCAGCAGTTCCTGGTGGAGCTGGGGTTAAAAAAGATGAAGAGGGTAACCTGACAAGAGGGCTGCTAGGGGCAAGTAAAAACAATCTAAGTAACAACTAGGAAAAATTTTTACACCCACCATAAATGCTAAGATAAAAAAGACTAACAACCACAAGCACTGGAGAAAATGTGGAGTTAACTGGAAGTTTCATACATTGTCGCAGGCATGTAAATTGGTACAATCCTTTGGAAAAAAGGTCTGGTAGTTGCTCATTAAACTAAACATACACCTACTCTAGAATCCAACAATTCCATCCTTAGATCTTTACCCAGGAGGAATAAAGATATATGTTTACGAAAAGTGTATACAAGACATTCAGAGCACTTTATTCATAATAGCAAAAAAAGAAAAAGAAAAAGGAAGAAAAGAAAAGGAAAAAGCAGAAATAGCTCAGGCGTCCATCAACAGGAAAATGGAAAAAAACAAACTGACACATTCATACAAAAGACTACTCAGCAATAAAAAGGAATAAATCACTGGTACATGCGACATGAATTAACCTCAAAAACGTGCTGACTGAAGGAAGCATTATGCTTTGTAATGATTTCATTCATATAACGTTTTAGAATGGGCAGATTTAATTTGTGAGGCAAAATAATCAGAATAGTAGATAACACTTGATAGGTGGGGTGGGGATTGACTGGGAAGGAACATGAGGAAACTTTCTGGAATGATTGTTGTGTTCTAAATTTTGAAAAGTGTTTGGGTTACACAGATGAATGCATTTGCAAAAATTTAGCAAGTTTACATTTAACTTTGTGCATTTCATTGCATGTTTAAGTGTACATCAAAAATTTTAAAAACTAAACATTAAACTCTATTTACTTATATGCATGTTGAAGTATTAGGGGGAAGTATACTGATGTCTGCATCATAAAAGTAACATGGAGAGATGAGTAATAAAACACATATGAGTAAAATTTAGAATCCATGAAGTTGGTAATTGGGTATCTACTATAAAATTCCATCAACTTTGCTGTATGTTTGAAAATTTTCATAATAAAATGGAGAAAAGCCCTCAGTTGGTCTTGTCTTTTTTTTTTTTAAAGATTTTTATTATTATTATTTATTTATTTGACAGAGAAGGAGAGAGAGAGCACACAAGCAGAGGCAGAGGGAGAGGGAGAAGCAGGCTTCCCGCTGAGCAGGGAGCCCGATGTGGGGCTCAATCCCAGGACCCTGGGATCACGACCTGAGCCGAAGGCAGACGCTTAACAACTGAGCCACCCAGGCACCCTGGTCTTGTCTTTCTAATATACATCCTATGCCTCTAGTAAATTATTCCTTCTGTAAGATAGAGGTAGGTTCTATAGCAACAGAGGGACCAGAAATTAGCCCCAGAATTTTCCCTGAAATTCTAAAGTTAGATGACATACGTAAACCAGTAAGAAAGGTAAGAAACTATAAAAATTATTGAAAAGGAAGCCAAGTTATCTTAAGAGTAATTATTAATACTGGTGTTTATTATCACCCACAAACAGGCTGAGAGTACCATATTTTGCATCTTTAAAAAAAATTACTTTTAACCACTGAATAGAAGAATCGTCTTTTATATCAGGTTATATATGTGAATAGGCCAATTGTATCTCATTCAACTTTGTCCAAAATTTGGATATCCAATCGTCATTTAAAAAACACTTATTAAGCATTTTCCTATACCCAGTATTATCATTATCAGTATGCTATATATGAGATAAAATAACATAATTTGCTTTTTGAGAGCTTTGGAGGAAATCTGGCATAAGAATGTGTCAAACAAATCTGGATGTTTCCTATCTCTGCACTTATTAGTTGTAGGACCTTGGGCAAATTAATTTCTATAAGCCTCACTTTCCTCATTTACAAAACGTGGAAGGATAATGGTAGTTCGTACTTCATATGATTATTCTGAACGCTGAGTGAGCCAACTCATTTTACATGTATCACAGTGATTGGTAGATAGAAAGCACTCAATGAATGTAAGTTATCATTTTTTTAAAAAGTACATATAAGAAACAAAACATTCAATTGGTAGAAGAATGTGGAGAACCTTAATTTGTTTAAATAGAACATCATCTCCTCACTAGGTAGTTCAAAACCCTCAAAGTTTGAGAAATGTTTTAGAAAGTCAAAGAATGATAACCTTGCTGCATTGATACTGTGACAATACAAAATCACAAGTAGTGAAATGCAGAAATACACTTCTTATCAGCATATTATCTAGACCTGCTGAAAGAAGCTATACTTCTTCACTCAGTTTTGCATTAAACACTCAGAAATGTTACCCATAATGTTTTGTGCCTATCACTAGTGCTTAAGTAGGTGGGCACACAGTTAAAGACTCTAGTCAGGCAGACAGTGGGGGTTAAGGTGGGGCCAGGAGGATATTAACTGCTACTCGCCCCCCCACCCCAAGAGAATGGCAGTGTCATGCCTGGCAGGTGGCAGAATGAACAGCTGCAAAGCCCCTGTGGGAAGCTGGCAAGCCCATACTCGTTCGAGAAGCATTCTGTACTGTCTCCTGCCATGTATGTTATCCATAAATTCCCCACATTCTTTACTATCTTCTACCTTTTGGCATCTGTTTATCAACCATCCTGTTAATCACGTAGCCCACATTCCCACATAATGTTACAATTGGCTGAAACTATGTAGGAGCAGCATGTACTTTTAGTTGGGGCATAACCCTTCTGTTTGTTACCCTGCCCACAACTCCCTATGGTCTTTCACACTAAGGTACATTTCCTGCCTGGCTCATTCGCAGTGGATCCTGGTCTAGTTTGATTTTGGCAGTGTGAAACATTAGAAGTTTCTCAGTGGTCAGTTCATACCTAGACTAGTAGTCTATCCACCCACTCACACCTGCCCCCAGCCTAAAAAGCAGCTAAGGATGTCAGCTAGTTCTCAGATGCCTTTCTGAGTAGATGAGTTCTATCATTTCATCAAAAGAAGATAATGACTTAAAGAAGAAGGGGAAACTCAATAAACTTCTTTTTTTAAAAAACCAGATAGGACTGGGGTGCCTAGGTGGCTCAGTCGGTTAAGCGGCTGCCTTCAGCTCAGGTCACGATCCTGGGGTCCATGGATCAAGTCCCATGTCGGGCTCCCTGCTCAGTGGGGAGTCTGCTTCTCCCTCTCCCTCTGCCTCTCCCCTGCTGCTCATGCTCTCTCTCTCTCTCAAATAAATAAATAAAATCTTTAAAAAAAATTAAAAATAAATAAAAATAAAAAACCAGATATGACTGAAATCTTAGGACATCCTTTTCTGAAACATTCTTGGAGAGCAGGCTTTCTGCTTTTATATAACACTGCCTCTGCTTTGAAACCCATACAACACTGGTTTCTTTCTTTTCTCTGGTGTTTTTAATCTATTACCTCTTACCAGACTTGTTTTTCAAGATGTAAATTCACTGGGTATGACTGTTTAGATACAGTTAGTGTCTAATTGGGAGTTTGGGGCAATATCCAGCACATCATAACTATTCAACTGCTGTAACCAGAATCATGTCTCTAAAATGCTCTGAAAGCTTCAAATATTATATTAAATAGTACTATTAAAGATGCATAAAATAAGAATGGATTTTTCAATTAGATATAAAAATATTAGAATTTAATACATGAAGATAGTTTTATTCTCTTGCTCATGAGGTAATAATCACTTCTGCTTTCCCAAATGGTTATTACACTTAGGATCAGATTCAGAAAGATTTATCTTTAGCCCACATATAAATATTTTCCCTTATTCTAAAACGTTAGCAATCTTCTTTTCTATTGCGCAAAAGACAGTTTTAGGGTTGCTCCCTTTATTTCTTTTAAATTTATGGACTCTGCTACTAGTTTCTTGATGTATGGAATAGGTTAACACCTTTTCTCCTCAGCTTCTGTTGATCATAAGCTTGAAATTTATCTGCAAACTTCAAGGGCAGAAAAGAGCAGAATTCACATCTTTTTTTTTTTTTTTTAAAGATTTTATTTATTTATTTGACAGAGAGATAGAGAGACAGCACAAGTATGCAGAGTGGCAGGCAGAGGGAGAGAGAGAAGCAGGCTTCCCGCTGAGCAGGGAGCCCAGTGCGGGGCTCGATCCCAGGACCCTGGGATCATGACCTGAGCCAAAGGCAGCCACTTAGCTGACTGAGCCACCCAGGCGCCCCCACATCATTCTTAATATGGGATCAAGCCAAAACTGAAGGAAAAACTGAAAGATTTTAATTTTTTTTTTTTTTTAAGTAGGCTCCATGCCCAGCATGGGGCTTGAATTCACGACCCTGAGATCAAGACCTGAGCTGAGATCAAGAATTGGATGCTTAACCAACTGAGCCACCCAAGTGCCCCCCAAAACTGAATGATTTTAATGTAAATTATCCAAGCTAGGATCCCATATTTTAAACTTAAGTTTGAATCAGCAATGATTTTTATTGCTGTCTCCTCCCCTTCTATTTTTACTATTCTTTTGAGGCTGAATCAGAGAAATGTGCTGAACATGTGGATTGCAGCAACTGGATTTCTCGAACAGGAAGCAAAAAGAAACAATTTTCTCCCTTAGGTTGCTTTTATTTAACAATCTGAAGACTGATTATCTGAGTTCAAGGATTATATTTAGATTGGTCCTAACAAAGAAGAAAAAAATACTCCTTTCACAACTAAGATAGAGCGAAAAGCCTTTTCTAGCTAATAAGTCAATTCCCAAGCCAGTAGGAATTGAGGCTTTATCTACTCTTCTACAAGGAGCAGAACTGGTGGGATCCAGGATACCTTTATCTTATTGCATAGGTATGAAAATATTGCCTAGGCAGAATTGGAAAACTCACCAAATAAATAGAATGGTGAAATGAATGCAACATTCTTAGATGCATTTAGAGCTGAACAGGCTACATATCAGAAAAAAATTTCACTTAAAGTTTGCTTGGAATCTTTTACATTAGTCTATGATAGAAACATAAATAATCAGTGGGAACACCAAGCCAAGAGAATAAAACCATGGAAGAAAAGATAATCTGGGAACTAGAGCCAATTCCTAATGCTATATATAAATACAAAACATATATATACATATATGTGATTGAAAAAAATGTGATGACACATTTATGGCTCAAAAATATCCGTTCACATTACAGGTCTCTTTTCTCACCCTTAGGCAAACTTGGGTATAGAGGATAGAGGATTTGTTTCTGTATCTTCTCCGTCTTTCTTTTTGTCTCTCCTGCCTAGTCTTACCTATCAAAATTCCACACCATCCTTTAAGAACCATGTTAAATACTTCTCCATCAATAACCCTCTCCCAACAATTGAAAATAACTTGTCTTTTGTGCTCCCCAACACTTTATATTTGCATCAGCACCAAGCTAAAAGCTCTAAAATGTTAGACTTCTTGGGATGTCATTCTAAAAAATCCGTAAAATGAAGTCCTTACCATCCCTTGTATGGCAAGAATTTAAAAAAGAAGTCACAGCCATCTGAAGTCAACACAAGAGCTTTTTCTAGAAAATACTGGAGAACTTTCTATGCAGATAACAAAAAGGAGGACTGAACATAGCTGCGGGGGTATGTGGCTAAAAATCTTAGACGTTAGTTACATCTCAAAATTTAAAATTATCTCACTCTTTTTCACAACTTCTGTTTGTTGTTTCTTCTTCAGCAGGGTCACATACCATCTGGTAAACATAGCAGCTGAAGACCCTGCTTGGTTTCTGTTCTATGTGTAGTACCAAGTCTCTGTCAAAGTAGACTTCATGGCTGTAGGTCTGTAATGAAAACACAGTCAAATGAAATCTCCTCTTCACACAACCATATTCACAATTATGTCACTAAAATGTCATAGCACCTATGCTAGGGATCTTCAAATACGTACTTGGAAGCAAAACAGTTGCTAGAAATCGTTTATTTTCATTACTTATGAATATGCAGGATACTTAGAAGAAAAGCATTACACAAAACGTCGAAAATGAGAAGAGCCCTGGTCATAGGAGTCTGAAACACCCAGATTCTATTGCCTATACTGCTCTTTCACTATGTGACAGTGGTCAAGTTGCTGAACCTCTCGGGTACTCCACTGATAAAACAAAAGGGTTGCATAAAATAACAGCGACTCTTCCTTATAGTTTTTATGTTCTATAATAACCAAAAAAGTAGACAAATATTTCTGAGAGTGCCTGGAAACCCTAATGCTTAGATATCATCTCTATTAAATAACTGGGGGGATTCAATACCATATACTTCTATTTTTAAAAATGTTACCAAACTTATAAAATGTGAGAAAACCAAAGAGTATGGTAAGGAGATAGACAGCATGTCTCAGAATAAAACATAAGACTTCATCCTTAAGGCCTCTAGAAAGGAGGCATCCTCGAGTTCCTAGGGAAGGAAGGCTTAAGAAGTACTCATTTTGTCCTGTAGGAGGATGTCCTCTTTGATGTGGTCACCGGTATAGGTGACCCTGGACTGACTTGAACACAGTAACATCTGTTCCAATAAATATCACCTACAAAGAAAATTCTTACAACTTTGTATTCCATGGACTCTACTCACCACATCCCATGACTCCACTAGTGGAATGCTTTTAAGTAAAGTTCCATATTCATTACAGTGGAAATCCAGGTGAGCTTTTCCTTCAGCATCTATTTGGGTAACAGCTACCACGGAAAGCAAATCCAGCTCATCTTCATAGTCCACAATTTTAAAAGTCTCAGGGAATAGATGGGTAAGGCAGAGGAAAAGAGAGGCAAAATCCGGTTATCCAGTTAGGATTATTTCTATTTGTAGTTTAACTGTTCTATTACTTATTTTTAAAATGTAAAGAGAGGAATGAATGGATGAGAGCATAGGTAGAAATGGGTCTCTACTTTCATGCCTAGTAAAGTCCCAAGATTCTGAAGACTGCAACAGTATCCTACTGATTCTGACAGACCAAGTCTATGTAGATCTCAGCCAAAATATTACTGAAATTCTGTTATGACAGCAAACTAGAACTTCTCCAAATTCAAAAGAGGTACTCAACTGTTGCTTCTGACATGTGTGTTCACTGGTTTCCACATAGGACTAAATATATGAAGTTCAGTTCTGAAACCCAAAAACTACCCACTTCCTTACCTCAGAAAAACACAAGTCATTTCAAGAAGAACTGACAGCCTATCACATACTATTTATGACTCTATTGGCCATCTTTTTTTTTTAATGCTTTTTGGTTTCCTAAAGAAAGCAAAAATGGCTGCTTATACTTGAGGGAGAATATTAATTAGGAACTGAAATCCAACCCACAGAACAGGACTGGGATGAGAGATGTTAGCTGGAAATGATTAATGATGGTAAAGTCTTAAGAGAGAAAAATCTAACCCCAAACTCTGTTTAAGGAAGTAAACCTGTGACTCCAACAGCCTCACAGGAGAAGCAGATCCATGCCAGCCATCCAGGGATGGACCATAGGAAGGGACATTTTGGCAGGCACAAGTTTCTTTGAACCACCACATACTAATCCTTCACTCACATTTGGTCAAACTGCTTTTTCATCTATTTATATTTTCTGCCTTTACTACCCATGACATAAAAATTTATAGAGATTTATTACACATGGTTTCTTTTTATTTACTTTTTTGCCTTAATACTACCTTGGTCAAAATTCAAAGAGTAGACTTCTTGCCTGGGTGTAGTGATTTTATAGCCTTTAGTCACAACCCTTTCAGCTTCTCTTTTATAGGCTAAAAGTTTTTATTCTCTAATCTCTTGATGTAGAGTATCTCTCTCTTTGTTACCACCTTCTCCTTGTTAATTATTTTTGCTACCTTTCAGTAATTTTAGTATGTCTTTCTCGAATATAGTTTTATACACAGGGAGCTTTCTGCTTTGTTCTCAATAGATTTCTATGGTTCAAAAAAATATACATGTATTTATTTTATATACCTTTATTTTACATATTTTATATGTTATATATTTCATAAAATATATATATGTACATATATACATAATACATTACATAATATACAAATGTACATATATAATTTCTTTTTTGAGAGTAGCCATATACTGGGTCACCTCCAATCTTTTTAAAAGATTTTCAAAAACTATCCTTAGAAGGCTACTCTAATGTTTCTATCTAGAAATAGTTATGCAATCAAACAGTTTTCTGGTCCAGACAGATTTAGAATTCATGCAATGGTTATATATTTGAAGCATGATCACTGTCCGTTGATTTCATAAGAACTTTCAATGCCTCTTTAAAAGAAAAGGATAAAAATGTATTAGCTCAGTGACTGGCAATGTCAAGTTCAGGCCAGAGGCTGAACTAATTTATCACACCCTCACACCCTTCTTCCCTGGCCCACGATCATTACCAAACATATCCATGTCTTGTAAGTAAAAAATAAAGCAAAAGCCATAAAGTCATAAGGATATAATTAAAGTATTTTCTATTAAGAAATTTCCCTAGAAATGTGCACATTAACAAAACAAAACCATAAGCTAGCAGTGTTTTCAAATTATTTCAGTCCTAAGAACATTTCTGCAAATAAAATCTTACAAATAATTCCAGTATGAGAGGAGAGGATGATGGGGATGCACTGATTGAAATACCATGCACAATCCTACCAATGAAGAACGCATGGAACTGCTCACCCCCAACCTATATCCCAGAGTCTGGGAAGCAGAATTTAAAAACCACAGGGCTAGTACACACTAGTTTGATTTGTTATCTCAGGCTAAAGTAATACCTCTTGTTCTGGGTCATCATCCAGAAGGTTAAAATTTTTTTTCACCACCCGTCCAGAAGCTGTAACAACGGGTAAGTTTTCATTCTATCATATGGAGAGAAATAAAAAGATATGATGAGTCCTTTTATGTGCAATAAATAGCAAAACTACTAAATTTTGTTAAACAACCAACCTTATCCAACATCCACAATTCTTTCCTCTACTGAGAAAATTCTGAATCAGATTTCTCATCCTCTAATTAGTAAAAATACTTACTATAATAAATTACGGATAAAATGCCATTATAGGCAAACAATAAATACAAAGGTTACAGATTTGCTACTTCACTCGCCCTTCTGATTTTTGCTTTAGTATAAGTACAGCAATGCTACAGTGGATCAGCTTTTGGAAATTTCTCTCTGCATAATTTTCTTCATGTTCTTAATTTGTACACTAAAGAAAAAGAACTATTTGGAGTTACAGCATGGTATGTGATTTTTAAAGATTCATATCTACCCCAATCTAAGTTTGCATAATTAATTAAACCCAAAGGTCGAAAATTCATCAATAAAAACTGAAAGAGAAACCCAGAAAAGAAACAGAAATTAGCAAAAGATAAGCTCAATATAATCAACTCTTTTCAAATCTCAATTGTGCATGGGGCTAAGACCAGCTACCTACATAGACAAAAAAATCCAGACTTTTATTCTGCTGCTCTTTTCAGCCACACTAAAAGACAAACACATTTGTATACTATATTCTCAAATAGAAAGACAGTGATATACAAAGAATTTTAAAGTACTCCTGGCTTACATTGTTCTTCTCCCTGTTGGCCAAAATGACAAAATCTTCAGAGATCTGATGCTGGGCACTATTATTTTCTACTTCATTTAGCTTTAAAACTCTGAAAAGAGAAAAAAGATCCTAAGACCTCAACACATCATCAAAGTGCCAAAGTTGAACTACTGAAATGAAACTCAACAAATGAAAATTACAGGAACAACACTAAGTTAGTTCTCCTCTCCTCCTGTGGAGTCTGAAATATTAATGTCTGATCACTTTAGCATCCATAAACTTCAAATTCAGAGATTTTTGTTAAACAGAAAAACCTGTGACAACAGGTACTCCTGAAGTAGGTAATGAAGCAGCTTCCTCAGGCCTAAGCCATCTTCCAAACTGGCTTAATGAAAGTTACTCTAAAGAACCTCATCTTTGTCATCCTGCAATAGGTCTTTAACGTTTCAGCTTTAATGGTGGCATTATAGTAGATATTGGCATTTTTTACTTCTGAAGATAGAACGAGATATCAATGAACAACACTCAGAATTAACTATAAGGCAGACTGGATTAGGAACTAAACCTAAACTAAGAGTTTTCATAAAAGAGTAATATTTAAAAACTGCAATTTACTTAATACTTTTATCGTAGGATTATATTTAAAGATTTGGGGTTTCTGAGTGCAAATGGCCTAACGGATCAAACTTACTAAGCAAGAGAAAAGAAAATAATTTGCTCACCGCCCACACAAATCTGTTTACAACATTAACAAGCTTCAAAAGCACAATGTTCTCAAAGCTTAAAGTCTCAGACGCAGGCAAAGAGAATAGCAGGGAGAAGCAGCTACTGTGGCCAGAGAGAGCCAGAAGCCTTAGAGTTTGCCAGAGGCAAAGAAATCAGATTATATTTTAAATTACTCAATTTGTTATCTTAAATTAAAAAGTGCCAATATTTAAAAGTGCCTATCTTCTAGAACCTGGCAAAAGGGCACACACTCTTTGTAGACCTTATTTTCTTAAGCTCAAACTACTATTAAAAGGTGGGTAATGGGGCACCTGGGTGGTTCAGTCAGTTAAGCATCCGACGCTTGATTTCAGCTCAAGTCATGATCTCAGGGTTGTGAGATCAAGCCCTGCATCAGGCTCCACACTGGGAGTGGACCCTGCTTAAGATTCTCACTCTCCGTTTGCCCATTCCTTCCTCTCTCTCTTAAAAAAAGAGAGAGAGAGAGAAAGAAAGAAAGAAAAGGTGGGTAGGCAACAAACATTAAAACCAAGGGTTGCTAAAGCTGAACTACAGTTTTTAAGACTTCTTATAAAAGTTCATAATCTTATTTAAGTCCCTTTATCTTCTTTATAAACAATCCAGAAAGGTAAACTAATTAACATGAAGCATAAGAAATACAGAAGGCAGACAATGTCTTTCTTATTCAAGAAATTTACTGAGCACCTACTCTGTGCTAGGCACTATGCTCAGTGCTGGGGTTATAGTCAGCAAAACAGACTCTTTCCCTGTCATTACTGAGTTGATGACTCCAAAGCTAGATATTTAAACAGATAATCAAACAAATAATTAATTAAAATTGCTGTGTTAGAGGAGGATAACACAGTGCATGCAGTGAAAATATGATGGGGGAGCTAATCTAACGAGGGGTATCAGGCAAGGACTAGGTGCAAAGGAGATATTTAAGCTGGCGACGAAATATGAATAGAAGTTAGGCAAGAGAACAGGGAGGGGAAACACACTCCAAACAGAGGAAACAGGTCCCTGGCTGTCTGATAAGACAGCATTACTGAAATAAACTGAGTGGGAGGAGAGTCTTTCAGACCATGCTAAGTGAATGATGGTCTTTATCTCAGGAATAAGAAGCCATAAAAAGGTTAAAGCAGAATCCACTTGGTTAGGATTTTGTGTTTGTTAATGGTTCTAAAAATCACTCTCACTGCTGAGAAGAAAACAGACTTAAAGAGTATAAAAACGGATTCCTGGGAGTCCTGTAAGTAGACTATTACTAGAGTCCAGGGTAGTGATGACAATGGTCTGACTCACAGGATATATGGGGGGGTGTGTATGTGTGAGAGAGAAAATGCACATGAGTATATGTATATGTACTGAAGAAAGACAAAAAGGTAACAAAGTGTTCAGAATAATTCCAGATTTCTAGCATGAGAGGTTTGGGCCAGGATATAAATTTTGGAGTTTTGGTGTATACATGATCTATGAAGCCGAGGGAATAAAAAGAATCAATAAATAGAATCATGCAGAAAGGGAATGAAGAGTGAGAAGAAAATAGGGTCTAAATCCTGAGGACATCCAATAACTAAAGTCTGAGTAGAAGAGAAAGAACGTGAAAGGATACTAAGAAAGACACATCAAAGAGGGAGGAAAATATTCAGAACTGTGGTGTCAGGGAAGCCAAATGAAGAGTGTTTCAAGGAAGGAAAGGTCAACTGGATGGAAGATGTGGGTCAACAAAGCAAAACAAGGTTTACTTCAGGGGTGCCTGGGTGGCTCAGTTGGTTAAGCAACTGCCTTCGGCTCAGGTCATGATCCCGGAGTCCCTGGATCGAGTCCCTGGATCGAGTCCTGCATCGGGCTCGCTGCTCGGCAGGGAGTCTGCTTCTCCCTCTGACCCTCCCCCCCTCATGTGCTCTCTCTCATTCTCTCTCTCTCAAATAAATAAATAAAATCTTAAAAATATATATATTAAAAAAAAAAAAACAACAAGGTTTACTTCAAACAACTCCTGTTCTAAAGCTGTCTTTTAGAACAAAGACAAATCATTTCTCTCCTTAATCCTGAAGAATTAAAACATGATGAGGACAAGCCAATCTGAATCTTTTACCCATATATCATCCATCAAAGAATTTATTTAAATATAACACCTACAAAGAGTAATGATGAGGCTGAAAGAATAAAGTTTTCTAGATGCCAGTCTCTGAGGAAGCAACCTGTAAAGCTAATTATTTCTATAATTGAGTCAACAGTTAGCTGGCAAAAAATAAACATGCCAATAAATGCTTCCAAAAGCTACTTTTCACTTTAAAGTAATTAATAAAAATACTCACTTGACCTGATTTGGGCCGACATGTATTATTCTACCAGAAGCATCAGGATGAAAATAGATCCAGTCAGATTCTAGAGAACAACATTCCATTTCTTGGATCCCATTTTTTGCCTGAAGTTGGGTAAAAATATTGAAAATAAAGATTAAGGGAAAATAAAGTAAGTTTTCAAATCTAACCTCAGTCACAGATCAGTAAATCAAAGGTACAGGGCAGAGAAAATATCAACAGTTGAACTGGGATATGTCTAAGAATTGAATCAGGACACTCACACTTGAGAAATCCAGAACATTTACCCTGTACCATACAATTTACCTCACAAATAATAACTTAACAGTTATCATATCTCAAGCATCTAATTTGTATCAGGTACTGTAGTAGATGTTTTAGAGTCATTTCATTTAACAACACTCAAAGCATATATTATATCCCCACTTTGATGAGGAAACTGATATATAAAAAGGATGAATCATTTGCTCAATCTTTTACACAGCTGCTCTGAATCTGAGGTTCAAGGACTTGTTCCACAACGTAACTCTGTACAATCATGCACACACGGTTCCCTATGACTTCTTCCTCCCTTGCCTATCCCCAATAAACTGTCAAAAGGAGTGGTTAGCACAAAGATAAACATGCAACCCAACCCCAAATCTCAGAAACAGGTCATATAAATCTCCTTGGATAAGTCCAATATAAACCTCTAATAATGAAGAAATGGTCTAATACTGCTTAGCCTTTTAGGCAAGTAGATATTTATTTCATGGTAGGACATTTAGACATTAAAATAAAGAAAAGAAAAAGATACCTCCATGATATAGGACCACATACATACATTAATGTTTTGCCTTATACATAGGAGCACTAAGAACTAATATTAGCATGGATACATTGATTTCATTTAATTTCTTTATTTCCCCAATGTAAAGTGAAGTGATACCACCTTTCCTATTAGATACTTATAAAACTTTTTAATTATTGACTTATTAATTTCATTAGCATATACTGACAGGACACTATGTTTTAAGTATCACATTAGGTGTTTGTACCTCACATGAACTAAACATAACTCTTGCCATCAAAAAGCTCATAATCAAAAAGGGAGCCAGAAACATAAACAGAAATAAGACAGTATAGAAAACAAAAAGAAACAAAAAGTGTAGAAAACAAAGTAATCAAGCCATGCACAGGATATTAACAAGCATCCAATCCAGGTGAGCAGAATATTAGAAGAAAAAACAGAGCTTAGGGCGCCTGGGTGGCTCAGATGGTTAAGCGTCTGCCTTCGGCTCAGGTCATGATCCCAGGGTCCTGGGATGGAGTCCTGCATCGGGCTCTCTGCTCCTTGGGAGCCTGCTTCTCCCTCTGCCTCTCTCTCTGTCTCTCATGAATAAATAAATAAAATCTTAAAAAAAAAAAAAAAAGAAAGAAAAAACAGAGCTTAAACTAAGCCTTAAAGGACGAGCACAAAACGGCGAAAAAGAAGAGATGGCAAAACACAAAACACAGAATGTTAATCCTATATAGCATGTATATGTGTACACATGAATAAAAATTTTAATTTTGGCTCCTACAAAAGAAATACAATGACTAGGGAAGTAGGTGGGGGCTATGTCACAAGTGCTTTGTTTGCCATGCTTTTAAAAAAATGGAATTTGGGCGCCTGGGTGGCTCAGACGGTTAAGCGTCTGCCTTCGGCTCAGGTCATGATCCCAGGGTCCTGGGATCGAGTCCCACATCGGGCTCCCTGCTCCTTGGGAGCCTGCTTCTCCCTCTGCTTCTCTCTCTCTCTGTCTCTCAGGAATAAATAAATATATAAAAAAAAACTTTAAAAAATGGAATTTAACACATTTTCTGTATTAGTGAATGTTTTAATTTTTCAGGAATTTTTATAAGTATTCTAATAATTTCTAATAGGAATGGTGGTATTATTATATTGTACATATAAGGAAATCAATTTAATTAAACACCTTGGTTGCAACCACTGAAATTAATGTGTCCAATATGGCATTAGCTCTGGATGCCCCTTTGTTTAAGATAAAACAGGTACATACTTATACACATCTTTCTTTAGACAATTCCTTTTATTATAATTACTACTAACATGCGAAAGAAATACTATCTCTTTTTGTGTTAAATATAAGGCAGCATTATTACCAGCTTCTGTAGTTTTTGTTATGTGCTTGAATGCTAGATTTTAAAGCTCAGTTTAATAGAAAGCTTTGAAACATTTTCTGAATTCTTCAGTTTGGCTGCGTTTTTGTGTTATCTACTATAGTTATGTGTTTTTGGGTTATCTACTCTTCTGACTGACAGGTGGAGAAGTAATGGGCATAAGCATCCTTAAGTTAATGTCACTACAGCAAAGCTGTCTGGCAAAAGAATTGAAAACTTCCCCTGGCTTCGGCATTTATGAATATGTTGAAACGTAGATAAGACTAGATGTTATAATCAGTTATTATAGAAGTTGAGTACTTGACAGGCATGCTTGATACAGATGTTGGAGGCCATTTTATATACAAACACACACACAATATGTATTATCAATTCTTATGTAAAAAGAATATGTACTAAATATCCAGAACGTGAATCGTACAGCGTTTGACTGGATAGAAAAGTTAAGTGAAAGAGATGTGACAGGTCCTGATGGCTGAAGAATGTTCACTGGCTGAGAGGTGGACAATCAAATCACAGACTTGTCATGACAGGGAACAGACCCTAGAGAGGCCACTCTAAAAGAAGATATCCCTGGGCTGGGCCAAACAGGAGCTGCCACATGTGATAGGTAAATGAAAAAATGAAAGGGGACAACGTCCCCAAAAAAGAAAACTAGAAGACACTAGACACAGTGTTCCCTGGCAGTGACATCAAAGAAAATAGATAACTGGACCCAAGACTGTGTTGATCTTTGGTGTGGTGAAAGGTGGCCTGTGACTAAAAGCCACTGCGTCCAACAGTGACTGATTGAGCACGATCCTGGAAGAGATGGGTGTGGAATAAGCCGAGTCTGCCTCAGAAAAAGTCAGATCATTTGATATATCAAATATATAGGTTCCAGAAATAAACTACACTAACTCGGCAATACAAAACAAAGGGGAACCCCTCCACCACTCCCTGTGCGTTTGCTCTTTTACGCTTATCTTAATCACTGTGCTTAACAGACTGCATCTTATTTATCTACATGTGTGCTTTCAAGAGTCTAAGCAACTTGAGGGAAGGGAATGTGTCCCCAGCCATGCCTGGCACACATTAGGCCCTCAATAAATTAAATTAAATTAAATTAAATGATAAATCATGCCTAAATCATTTCAAAAAGAAAATAAAGAAAATTAATTCAAGGGGTAGAAATTTCTATTGTCTTACCATGTACCATTTCTTCCTATTCCGCCATAAGTAACTTAACAATGTTCTTGAAAATTCAAAGTGTTTCAATGCTTACATTGTGACCAACAGAGTTTTACCTGGTTCTGCTCTGGAAAGCTAATAACAGCAAACCATGAAAAAACAGACCCAACCACACATTGCACCAGCCTGAACATACTCCATCAATAATTTCCACTATGGAGCTTCAGAGATGTTTGTAGCAATCCCATGAGAAATCTTGGGTTTCTAAAAATTTTCAAATCTTAATGCTTTTAAATTCTTGGTAGTACACACAAGTGTTTGTCATATTCTTTGTAGTCTTCTGTACCTAACAATGTTTACAAAGTATCAACACAAACAAATAAAAAGTAATTCTTAGGAATTCTTATTATAGAAGCAGAAAATAAAGAATTTCTGATACAAATTTACTATTCAAAGTCTGATCACTCATGACTTACCAAGGAATTATCTTTCAGGGCACAAATATGGAAAACTCCTTTCTGTTTCTTCTTATTAGGCGTGATGATGTAGTGCCAAGGGTGGCCTCCAATCTGAAAAGCGTTCTCCAGGGAGGATACCTCAAAGAGCAGTGGAGGTGTGTCTGCAGAGATGGGCAAAAGGAATTTATTATTTTCTCTGTTCTGGTAGCCTTGGAACTTTCATGAACGGAATTCAACCCTTCTTTGCGTGTACCATCTATGAATTTTCATTAATGAAAAATTACTACGTTCAGGAAATAAAATATAATCAGGACAGAGGCTGATTGCTAAGAAGAGAGAAAGCTGGTAGGAAACAAATGCTGTTATGAGGTCAACTTTCTAGACATCTGTTTTCAGAGTATGTGTGACCTGCAGCTGAATGGAGATAAAAAGTGGGCTGAAGGTGCTTATGAGGAGAAAAAATGACAAAGTACATCTAATAAAAGCACCATTTACTAGGCATGTATGTCTCAGACTCTGGGTTAGATACTATTTCCAACACTCATAACAATCCTAATAGGTAATTAAGTCTAATAATTCCTTCAGATGTGAGGAAGCGATCTTCCATATTCCAGACTAACAGGTTATACTTAGCAAACTTTATCAGAGCAGTCTTAAGATTTCCAGTGTAGAAGTGCTATTGGTCATAATGAATGTAACCACTTAGGACAGGTAGGTCCTGTCACAATGGAAGCTTTATTAAAGGGTAGCCACTACTACTAATCATCTTTAGACAAGTTAACTAGTTTAGATACATCTAGTGAGTCACTGTCATTTAGAGACTGACACCATAAAAGTATCTGTTGGTGCCTCTTAGTCTTTTTGATAACAACTAATTTTAAGTAGAGTGAAACAGATGTACTTAGAGAAATGCTTAAGTGGAATGTACTACAGCTTTAAAAGACCAGAATAGCATTTGGACAGTACTTGGGAAACATCACAAAGCACACAGTCTGTTTCAGCAGGTGGTTAATCTACGACTCGTTTTTTTTACCCCTCTACCTTAAGAGAGGTTATGAGGCCATCACTGTCAGTAAAGGGGCTTGCGGTAGGAAGACTCAAGAATCACATGTTACATATAGAAGTGTGTACTCTACTAGGCTTCTTCATACAGACAATTTACCACTTGGTGTTATACACAGGAGAAAAATAATGAAAAGTGAAATCACAAACTGACAGTCCTGAGAAAGAGACAAGTATAAACATATTAAATATGCTTAAAGTGCGTTTTTTTTTTTTTAAACTTCTAGGAAAAGAGTAATATTCTTAATATATAAAGAAGTCTTTTTAGGGTGCCCGGGTGGCTCAGATGGTTAAGTGTCTGCCTTCAGTTCAGGTCATGATCCCAGGGTCCTGGGATCGAGTTCCGCATCAAGCTCTCGGCTCAGCGGGGAGCCTGCTTCTCCCTCTGCCTCTCTCTCTCTGTCTCTTATGAATAAAAAAATAAAATCTTAAAAAAAAAAAAAGAAGTCTTTTAATAAGAAAAATATGAACCCAACAGAAAACTGGGCAAAAAACATCAGTAAGTAAATTATGAAAGAAGTACAAACATCATATGTGATAATATGGTAGCTATCAAATGATGGTGAACGAGGAAAAAAAATATAAAAAGAAAAAATATAATTAGAGTTTGAATTTGGGGTTAAAATTTCAAGTAGGTATGTTGTAGAGAATATAAAATAGGTATGAACAATAGGAAAAAAAAGTCAATCCAAAAAGATGTATTTAAAAAGAAATGCTTTTCTAAGCAGTTGCTAAAAATGGCCCCAAAGTAGCAGCAGGACTCTGTTCATCACAATTCTGATGGGTCCCCACTAACCTCAAGAGCCCGAATTTTGATCTCTAATAATATTTTCAGTTAAAGAGTCCTAGAAATTCTGAGAGTAGCAGATTCCATGTCTTGTAGTGAGGAAATTTTAAGATAGGTCTGAACCAGCTGGTTATTGCTATAAAGGATATTTTACAAGGATGTCAATGTAGTATTAAAAGAATAAGAGAACCAACAAAAGGAGCTCCTACTGGCTAGACTGTGGAAAGAGAGGCATTAAAAAGAAAATAATAATTATTATAATGCTCTGAGTCTGTGAAAGGTCAAGCAATGATACTTCAGATTTTTAATATAAATTGTACAAAATGGTTGTATGGTTTATAAAAGAATGGCTATAATAGGATAATGAATTTTCTGTAACTTTAAAATATAGGGAATATATCAGGCAAATGCAAATTAAAACCACAATGAGATATTGCCTCACACCTGTTAGAATGTCTATTATCCAAAAGATAAAGAACAACAGGATGTTGAAGAAAGGGAACCCTCATGCACCACTACTGGGAATGTAAATTGGTGCAGGCACTATGGAAAACAGCATGGAAGTTCCTCAAAAAATTAAAAATAGGGGACGCCTGGGTGGCTGTCGGTTAAGCATCTGCCTTTGGCTCCAGTCATGATCCCAGAGTCCTGGGATCGAGTTCTGAGTTCTGTGTCGGGCTTCTTGCTCAGCGGGGAGCCTGCTTCTCCCTCTGCCTGCCACTCCCCTGCTTGTGCTCTCTCTCTCTTTCTCTGTCAAATAAATAAATAAAATCTTACAAAAATAATTAAAAATAGAACTACCATATGGTCTAGTAATTCCACTACTGGGTATTTACCCAAAGAAAATGAAAACACTAATTTGGAAAGATAATATGCACCTCTATGTTCACTGCAGCATTATTTACAGGAGTTCATAGAGACAGAGAGCAGATTGGCGGTTATCAGAGGGGAAAGGGTTGAGGGGTGTTTGAAATGGGTGAAGGAGGTCAACTGTATGGTGATAAATGGTAACTAGATTTACTGTGGATTTACATAGATTTACACTACGTATCACTTAGTAGTGTATACAAAAATGAATTTTTTTTGAGGTGAAAGCAGAGTTTATTGAAGGTATGGAGCAAGCAGATATAGACAGACACTCCATGGGACTTGGAAAGGAAAGGAGCATGAGTCTCATCTTTGTTCAGAGTCTGGGGTTTTTTATTGAGGATGGTGGTTTGGTGTACACATCCTCTCAGGTATCCAGGAACAGTTCAGAACAAAGATGAGGGCTCAGGTGTTATTCCTTGGAGCCAGGGGGTCTTGGCATGGAGATGTCTAGCTCTGATGGTCTGGAATGCATATGTGATAACTTCGTCCAGTCATTCTCACCTGGTCCTTCCTTGGATGTTATTTATTCTAGAGAATCATCAACTCTTTGTCCCTTACAAGGAGGACATGCACTATTTGCATTATAAGGCATGTGTAAAGTGGGATAGGGGTGCAGGTCCTGCCTAGCAAGAATAGAAACTGGAAAAGAAGCAAAGGAAAAAAACAGCTTTTTCTCTCATGGGGTCCCCTTCAATTTCTCGCTCATTCCCTACGATGAGATTTTTATCTTCCTAATTCTTAAGGGGTGTTGAAAAGTGAAGGTCTCATCTTCTGTAACTTCTTCAGGCTGAAAGAGATTATAGATCCTACCTATTGAGAGGCATAAAAATCCTGAGCTATCTCACTACATGGAGGGTCCCTAGGAGCAGACTGTTTGAGCTGGAGGCACTCATGAGGCCTCATCATAAGAATGGGATGCTTCCTACAGTTTCTATTGACATAATTTGTCTGGCATATTTATGCAGAGCATGTGATAACAATAGCTCCCTCAATAAAAAGACCTAGCATACGTATTATCATAGCTAGTAAAAGAAGTGGTTTCCATCAGGACTATCCATTTCCGCTAAACCAGGAAGAAATCCAATCACTGAGAGAATTAGAGGAGTCAGACATTGCTTTAATTTCTATGTGCATGTCTGCTAAAACTTTGGATATGTTAGAGTTATCAGGGATATATACAAAATATTTAGTCTCAATATTAGCATAAGTTTCTTCTTGAGCTACAGTCAAGATATCAAGGACCATTTGTTTTTGGAGGTCCACCTTTCAAATTTGTGGGTGACTGCATGTTGGGTTTGGTTAAAGGTGGCCACTATATGCGTGGCTAAAGCCTATATTTGTAATTTTACAGCTATAGAGGAAGCTCCTGGGAAAAATATGGCTAAGGGATAAAACCATCAAGAATCCCGCTTTGCCTGATGTCTAGCCTTAGTAATATCCTAATTATGAAGAATCACTTGCAAGTGGGAGATGACTTGTCCTGGGAAAAACTGAATTATTATGCTGTACACCTGAAACTAATCTAATGTTATATATACGTATCAATTTTATCTCAATAAGAAAAATAGGTAATCTTATATATTTCTTCTATTAGATAAATGTTTAGGGGCGCCTGGGTGGCTCAGTCGTTAAGCATCTGCCTTCGGCTTAGATAAATGTTTAAAAAATTTTGATACATGTTAAGTGAAAATATAAGGTACAGAACAGAATATATGATATACTACACTTGGTATAAGAAAGAAGGTAACATTTAAAGAATACACACACACGTTTGCTTATTTTTATAAAAACAAACAACAGAGGGATAACCTCGAAACTAAAAATAATGATTACTTCTAGGGGCAGGGTGGGGTAGGGGGAAGGAAGTAACAGAATAAAAGGACTATATATAGAAGTGAAATTTCTCAGACAATATCTTTTTATATAGTTTTGACCTTTGAAATATACACATTTTACAACTTCAAGAATAAAGTCAAAGGGAAAAAGAAACCTAAAATTGAAAACAAACTAAAACAAATGAATCTAATTACATAAAATTGGTAACCTAATCATACAGAAAAATAATTTTAAATAATCTTTGAACACATTACTTCTGTAGTACACTTATTGGGCTATACACTAAGGACAAAAGGAACCATAGAGAAATCTTAACCTTCACAACACTATAGTTTTTAGTGGTAGCACTGATATGGCAATTTTAAGATTATCACATATATAATAGGATAAAATTTTATTAGGAATCAAGTTAAGTGGGAGCCAAAAGAAATACAAATATAAAATAAAAGAACAATTAATTTGGAAATATGAAAATGAACTAATGAATTTTTGTTTTACTATATTTCCCAGCTCTGTTCACCAAAAAATAAAGACAACCAATTGCATTGAGTACAACTAGATCTTGGTCTATGTTGTGGGTTGAACTGTGTCCCTCAAAAAGATAAGTCAAAGTCCTAACCCCTAGTATCTGTGAATGTGACCTCATTTGGAAACAGGGTCTTTGCAGAGATCATATTGGATAAGGGTGGGTCCTAAATCCTATGACTGGTGTGCTTATAAGGAGAGAGAGAGATTTGAAGACAACAGAGTAAAAAAGACCATGTGAAGACAGGCAGAAATGGGAGTTATACTGCCACAAACCAAGAAAGGCCAAGGATTGTCAGCAACAACCAGAAGCTAGAAGAGGCAAGGAAGGATTCTTTCCTAGAGTCTTCACAGGGAAGTCGTCTCTGTCAACACCTTAATTTCAGACTTCTAGCCTCCAAAACTGTAAGAGATTAAATTTTTCTTGTTTAAAGCTACCAGTCTGTGGTGTTACAGCAGCCCTGGGTAACTAACACAGTCAATGATGTTGTTTTCTACTAAAATGGCTCCTTGTCAGATCTAGGACAAGGAAAGTAAAAGACAAACCTGGGATATATTACTGTTCCAGAAAAAAGGAAATTCTCCAAGACTACTGGGGTATGTCAAAATGGGAGTTCTCATTGGCCAAATTTGGGGCAATTTGAACATCATTAAGAATAATGACTGTAACTATATAATTTTGAATAAATAAAAATCCTTGAGTCTATTGGGATTATATGTGTGCTGACCTCTAAAATATTCCGCCACCATTGGAAGTGACTATTATACCAACTCCTTGTTCAAATATTGATAATTAAAGAGAAGGAATAAGTATTTACTGTCACTTTTTAGAAGGAATTATAGTTCATTCCTAGGTGAAAAGTGAAAGTCTTTATTTGTGAAAAAATGTTAGTTATTAAAGGTAGAAGGAATGAGAGAATCCTTCAAATGGCCATTCTGCCACCCCAAATGACATACCTGATTCAGGCAAGAATCATTAATAGTTACAGGAATATTCTTATGTTATCTGTAATCATAGAAAATTAAAAATAACCTACATGTCCAGACTAGTGAATTGGTTCAACAAATTTAGAGTTCATCAATAAAATGGTATATAAGTCAAGTTCTTAAAATTTCAAGGAGCTGCATGTGTACATGCATACACAAGGAATCACAATGTAAGCACCACATTCAAGAAGTATTACAAGGTATATAATGAAAACTCAATCTTCCTTTCATCTTATCCCTCAGAGGTAACTACTATTTATGAGGTTTTTGGGTAACCTTCCATACATTCCAAGCAAATCTAAAAGCATGAACTAGGGGCGCCTCGGTGGCTCAGTTGGTTAAGCGACTGCCTTCGGCTCAGGTCATGATCCCAGGGTCCTGGGATCAAGGCCCGCTTCGGGGTCCCTGCTCCTTGGGGAGCCTGCTTCTCCCTCTCCCTCTGCCTGCCACTCCCCCTGCTTGTGCTCTCTCTCTCTCTCTCTTTGTGTCAAATAAATAAATAAATAAAATCTTTAAAAATAAATAAAAACATGAATTAATGAATTTTTGTATATGTATAAAAAAAGTATACTTACATGTATACTTTTAACATGTGAATATGAATTCTTTATACAAATGAAGCTTTTTATATACAATTTTATACTCCTTTTTATCACTTGGTAATATATATTGGGAATTGCTCTATACCAATGCAAAAACAATTTTTTTTAACAATTAAATTTATGATACAGCCAAACAATGAAATGTTAATGCCACCTACCAATGTACATGTTATTTCCAATCATTTGTTATTAGAAACAATGTTGTACTTGTACACTTGTCATTTTGTAGACATGTGAATATATCTGGTATAAATTCTTAAACATGGAATTTTTCAAGGAATATATACATTTAAAGCTTTGATACATATTGACAAACTGTCCTCCACAAAGGACCCCAATAATAAATGAATATACTGTTACAGACTTCTATACTTCTAACAAACACTGTTATGTAACTTTTTGATATTTGAGAATCCGAAAAGATATATCTTATGATAATTTTAATTTGCATTTCTCTTATCAGTGATGTTGGGTTTCACCTTCCCCTAATTAAAAGCCAAACAACTCAGTATCCCCAGGCCTTCAGTTCAATGAATAACTGATAGATTTTGTTAACACCTATTCAATAGCAAAGAATATGCTGTATATATAGAAGTAAAATGAATTGAGTTTATAATTAAATTATGAGAAAACATCTGGACGATTACAATAAATAACTATTTATATGACCACTTATTTCTTAAGGTGAAAAAAATGCTATATAGTAGCCATACCTGTGATTTTAATATTACAAGGAATGCCAAAAGGAGCCTCTCCTACAGTTCCAGCAGTCCCACCCCATCTGCATGCACACCCTAAGTCAAGTTTCTGTTGCATGAACTAAAAACAAAACAAAACAAAAACGGTGGCTTTAGCACCAACTTATTTGCTGTCTGAAGAAAGAAAAAGTCAAATTCACATGTATATGACAGAGAAAATATCTTTATTGACTCAAGGCCTGTTTATCTTCCCTCCCCTCTTTTAAAGGTTACTTTGTCTTTCTGCATTTGTACAGTTTTGTAGAGTTGAAATCTACACAAGTGCCTTATTCTAAAAGCATTTCATTAAAAAAAAAAAAAAAAGTCATACCTCAGTCCAAACCTCGAGTTATTATAATATGGCAAATTTCAGTCTTCTCTACCTGTTCAGTGATGGCTTGGAAGCTATAGAGTCTGACCAGTCCTGAGCTGTACATCACAATTAGTATTCCATGAGACAAGGTAGCATCTGTAACGTTCCCGAAAATCTGAGGGGAAAGGTAGATATCACCTGAGAAAAGACCAGAAGGCCAATCCTCTGAGTGTTCACAGTGGTTTGTGCATTTGCTTAATATTCAGGTCACCACTACAACACTGCTACCTACCATATAACTTAATTATAATTTAGAGACTTGAAGTTAAAGTGTCAATAGGGTAGTAGGCCACTAGAGTCTCGAACAGGAGCACTAATGGGAGTGCAGCACTTAACCCTCAAAATGAAACAAACTGAGGGTTCTAGAGGGGAGGCAGGTGGGGGGGATGGGTTAGCCTGGTGATGGGTATTAAAGAGGGCACGTATTGAATGGAGCACTGGGTGTTACATGCAAACAATGAATCATGGAACACTACATCAAAAATAAATAAATTTAAAAAAGAAAAAAATGATTCAGCAGTATTCATTTGCTTCATCCATTTGCTTTACAGTTCTGTCAATATCTTTTAATAACACATCCTGTTCCTCGTGGACCTAGGCATACACTGAGACCATCTAATTCTACCATGCAGGATATGTGTACTAGAGTAAATATAGGGACTTATTCTTCATGCTAAAATGTTATTTATAAAGAAACTTATTTTTTAGCTAAAAGTGAAAAGGCTGGATGTAAGAAAGTACTTCTAATGAAAAACAGCCAACTCCAGAATTTTATCATTACTTTGTTCTTTAAATATCTAATACTGTTTGATTTTTTAGTCATATAAAAACCAAACGTGTTAAAAGACCAAGCAAGCCCCTATAGAGGCATTTAGCCCGGCTAACCCTGAGTAAGGCTTTGGCTCTTTGTTCCCTTTCTGGGTTTGTTCTATGCACTGGATCCTGTCCTAATCCTCCACAGAGCTCTGATAAAGTAACTTGATTCTGTGCCTATTTTAATATTTAACAAAAGCCAACATAGACAAATATTCATAGCAATGAAAGAACAAGTGGAAATTAAGTGAAAATCTGTTTCTGTTTCTACTCAAGACAAATTACTTAGAGAAGATTTACTACCCAATGACGAGCTTAAAGTACATTTTGAGCTTCGCCCCTGGGTAGTCTCTTATACATGGGGAGTGGAAGATATGCTTCAGTTCCTACTAACCCTAATCAAAACCACATCCCTCCAATGACTATCATAGGCATCTAAGAATAAATAGAAACAATTTATGATTTAGTTAACTGTTCATTCCTGTTGCAGCCTGTAATAAGTACATACAACTACTTCATCCACAAGCACAAAGAAAAGTTAAATTAGTAAGTTGTGTTTCTTGTCATCTCTTTGAAAGATAATTATGCTTTGCTTCGATCTTAACTAGCTCATGATTTTTTACTTGTTGATCCTTGTTTCCCATTTTGAAAAGGAGGACTTATGTAATTCAAACATGTTTTCAAACAAGGAGTGCTCTAATAAAGCAGCCACTGCATCTTAAAATTTGGTTCACACTTTGGAGTCAAACCCAGTTTCTAATTCCAGCTTCTCCACTTACTTAGGATTTGGGTAGCTGCTTAACTTCCTAGTTGAACCCACTATATGTTACAAAGTTATAAACTACTCAAAGTGCCTGGCACAAAACAATGAATAAGTAACTGATACTATTCATTCGCCTTTATGTAGCTTAGTATAATATGCTTATGCAAAAATTTTTTAATATGTTCATCTTATTTGCTAATGACTCTTAGTAGACCCTGAAGATCTGACCTCAGTAATACTTGAGGTGTGTAATTAAAGACTAGTAGAATAGATCAATAAATAACTATCCACCCAGACTAAGTAACAATTTTTTTAATGGAAAGTAGGAGGCTATTGATTCTTTTACTCAAAGGAAGTATGTCTTTTCTTTCCTCCCATATAACAGACCATAAATCAAGAAAAATGACAAGAATGGGCGCCTGGGTGGCTCAGTTGGTTAAGCAACTGCCTTCGGCTCAGGTCATGATCCTGGAGTCCCTGGATTGAGTCCCGCATCGGGCTCCCTGCTCGGCAGGGAGTCTGCTTCTCCCTCTCCCACTCCCCGTTTGTGTTCCCTCTCTCGCTGTGTCTTTCTCTGTCAAATAAATAAATAAATAAATAAAATCTTTAAAAAAAAAAAAGAAAAATGACAAGAATAAAACCTATAACTGAACGAGCTGGAAAACTCACATATTTAATTATATGTCTTGTTTATGTAACATAAAACAAATTTTAGATCTATACTTTGCAATTAAAATGACTCATTTTGTTGTAGCTTTTCATCTTCCTAATGGTCATTTTAACAAGCTTTGGAATATCCTCTGAAAAAAAGCACCTTACTCATTTCATAATTTTATAAAGTAGTGGTTTGTTAATGACACCAAAGGTATTCAACACTTCCACTTAAAGGCATAAAAACATGCAGAAAGATGAAAGGATGATTAGGCTTTCTTCCTAAATGAAACATTCTCATGTTTTTTGACATGAAACAAACTAGATCAGAGAGCTTTTTACAGTCAAGGGAACATTTGCAATCAAAACACCTAATAAACAAACATACACTGATATCACATCTTATCAAAAAATTAATAGTGAAATAAAATAAGTAAGTGCTTACCTTCTTGTTGATCTCCAGAATCCCTATAAGTGAAAAAGGTAAAACATGGAACACTGCAAGGTACAGCAAAACAGGCTGTTGAATGCCTGCCTAAAAGGAAAGATTAAATTACAGGCAGCTCTCAAAAGAATTTCAGAAACACTATTTTCATGAGTTGAAAACATCCATCTGTCCTAGCAGTTTTGTGGATGTTTTCATGAATTGAAAACATCTATCTACCTTGCAAAGTTACTTACACAGGAAAGCATACATGTTCAAAATATGTCCATTAAACCTTCAGCCCTTCAATACACATACACATACACACACAAATCTATACAAGTAAACATAGGGGCGCCTGGGTGGCTCAGTCATTTAAGTTTCTGACTCCTGATCTCAGCTCAGGTCTTGATCTCAGGGTCATGAGTTTAAGCCCCGCATCAAAAATAATAAAAAATAAAAATAAAAATAAATAAACATTAACAGTAAACATTTCTTAGCAACAAAACATATTTTACATACTATACAACAAAAACATTTTATATACTGCATAATAAAATATATTTTCTGTATTATAATATAAATTAATATAGATTTCTAATATCATATATAATTATGTCATTATTATACATATATTATTTTATTAACATAATATAAATTATGTTATAAATTGGAATTCTAATAAAGAGCCAAATCAAAAGACAGTTATCATAGTCACATCATCTGAAAGTAGAATTACACTGACATGTCTATGTGAAATGAGAAAAAATTATCAATAAAGCTTGAATGATTTCTCTGCTTGAAAAAGATAGCTTCCTTACTTTAAAGAATAAGGTTCTGTCAATTTCTTTCCACTGTGGAATGTAAAATAATCTGTTGTACTTCCCCAAAGCAGCTTAAAGGGTATTTATTAAGTTTATATAATTTTCTTAACCTTTCTACCATTCTTCAGAAATCCAAGATCATTAGTTCTTTCCTAACAAATTTGCAGACAATTTCCTCAGGAAACAAATTCCTCATCTTACTGATGTTTAAAGATTTATTTATTGATATTTAAAGATGTCTACCTGCCGGGCCAATAATGAGCCTTTGTTTTGAGCTGACTTGACTGCAATGACTTCTTGAGGAGTGTCCCAGCTCAGGTATCTTGTAAAAGGATGAAGAGAAGGTTATTCATTTGGGTAAGTTTCCTTATAATCAAAATATAACAGATATTTCATAAATAAACAGTTCTTTATTTAAATTATAAAAGCAAATTAATTTATTTTAAAAAACAAATAACTTAAAAATTCCCTCACATCTTTATATGGATATATTCCTATTAAAAAATATGTATATATTGAATTTTAATCCTTCTAGAGTGTCAATAAATAAAAACTGTTTGATCAAACAGTATTCAAAACTTAGAAAAAAGACCATTCCTACTTTAAAATGGACATTAACATTACAAAAAGCATTAAAAATGTTACCTTCACATTCTACATGCATATATTTACTCCAAATATGTCTATATATAATATATAAAACTACTAAGTTAAAATAACGGCTTTTAGGAACACCCAGATGGCTCAGTCAGAATGTGACTCTTGATCTTGGTTGAGCCCCACACTGGGTGTAGAGATCACTTTAAAAACAAAACAAAACAAAACAAAACAGTTCTTGACTGTACTAGGCAGGTGATTTAACCGAAACAGACTAGCCTTCAGGAAAACCTATCCTGAAATTAAACCTACATATAAAATACTATTCACAGAACATATAAAATATTATTTGTAGAAGGGAAATTTGAAAAGGGTGGGGGAGAGATATCTGCCAAGGTTAATTACTTATGAGTGATACAAAAATAAATGATAAAAGGTCTGTATCCTCAGATCTTCAAATGTAGTCATAAGGAGAGAAAAAGAGAAAAGGTTTATAAATTGAGATCCAGATATACAATGGGAAACTTAAAAAAAAAAAAAAAATCTAAAACTTGTAATTTCCTGGGCCACAAGTCACAAATTTTAATAAAATTCTGAGTAATAAAGTCACAGTTAATACCTGAATTTGCAATATGAAGCAAGATATATTTTCTCAAGGACTTTTCCAGTAGTTGCTGATATGCGAAACAGCCAATTATGAGCAGTCAGTGCTATGAGTGAAGATTTATAATCTGATGGATTGGGAAGTATTTCCCCCTAAAAAATACAAGATGTAAAAATGAAACTGGTTGGTCATGAACAAATCTACAGAAATCTATGTCCAAAGAAAACAGCTAAAACCTTAAAGAAACAGATAAGTAAACCAAAGAGGAAATATTAAATGTACAAATAGAGAATTTAGACAAGGAAAGATGAAACTGTAGGTAATTATTTTTATCATTAACTTATTAAGTGCGTTTATTCACATAAAGTGCTTAAACAGTACCTCAAATAATTTATTACTTATTATTTAGTATTAAATAATTCAATAAATGTGAGCCAATCATCATCATAACACATTAGGAGTGTTACTAATGATGCTGCTGTGATGACAATGATAATAATAACAGTTCTTAAAACCATGTATAATAGCATCAGCGTAAGTCACCTGCTAGAATAGATGTTTCTTGGGGAACCTGGGTGGCACAGTCAGTTAAGCATCTAACTCTTGATTTCAGCTCAGGTCTTGATCTCGGGTGGTGAAATCAAGTCCCACATGGCTCTCTATACTGGGCATGGAGCCTACTCAAGATTCTCCCTCTCCCTCTGCTCCTCCCCCTCCACAAGGAATAAATGTTTCTTTATTCCAAGACCTGTTTTCCTTTTGATAGAAGTCAAAATGGCAAAAGGACAAATTGTTCCACGATTTACTGTGGCTCTACTGTAACTCCAAATGAAAGCTAAAATGCAGAATCAAGGCAGCCAAAGAAAAACAGAAGATGGGCCAGGTTTCAAAGAATGAAGGGGGGGAAATCGGAGGGGGAGACGAACCATGAGAGACTATGGACTCTGAGAAACAAACTGAGGGCTCTAGAGGGGAGGGGGGTGGGGGGATGGGTTAGCCTGGTGATGGGTATTAAAGAGGGCAGGTACTGAATGGAGCACTGGGTGTTATACGCAAACAATGAATCATGGAACACTACATCAAAAACTAATGATGTAATGTATGGTGACTAACATAACATAATGAAATAAAATTAAAAAAGAAAAAAAAGAATTTCCAGGAGATGATACTTACATAGACACCATAGAATAAAAATATTTACGTCATTGCATGTGATTTTAATGTAAGACTTCTAGTAGTTAATAAGCTTACACACACACACACACACACACACTCAAGAAACAAACACAACCTTGTTTCTTTCCCTAACATTTGAAAGAGAAGACAAATCTTTAAAAGCATATATAAAATAACTATGCCTTCATTTTTTTCTATTCACTTTTCAGCCTAACTGAATACTAGATTAATTCCAACTTTCCTATCCTTAACTTTCCTCTTAGAACTTCCTTTTTAGGGGCACCTGAGTGGCTCAGTCAGTTGAGCATTTGAATCTTGGTTTCAGCTCAGTCATGATCTTGGGGTGGTGAGATCAAGTCCTCACCAAACAAACCCTCAGTTTGTTTCTCAGAGTCCATAGTCTCTCATGGTTCATCTCCCCCTCCAATTCCCCCCCTTCATTTTTCCCTTCCTACTATCTTCTTCTTTTTTTTTAATATATAATGTTTTATTTGTTTCAGAGGTACAGGTCTGTGATTCAATAGTTTTACACAATTCACAGCGCTCAGCATAGCACATACCCTCCCCAAGGAGATTCTTAATTTTAAAAAATATACTATTTATACCTTGCCTATTAAAAAAGAATTTGAAATAGCACATGTAATAGGTTTGAGCTATTTTCCTAAACCAAAAGTTGTATTTCACACACTGTCTCAGAAAAACAAGGGTGCTGATTTAAATGTGGTTTCACATCAATATGTTAACAACAATATATGCTTCTCAGTTTTCTTAATGGAAAATCCTGTTTAACTTCAAATGAGAAGAAAATAGTAAAAGAAGTGAGAATAGGAACTAGGTTACTAGAAACTTTATTTTTGCAAGGATTGCTTTACATTTTTGGTGATTTTGTACTGGTGTCTTCAAAACTTTTCTCAATTAAGAAATCTGTCTTCCTCCCCACCCCCACCCCCAAATTAAAATGGATTAAAAGGCTTTAGGGATGCCTGGGTGGCTCAGTCGGTTAAGCATCTGCCTTCGGCTCAGGCCATGATCCCAGGATCCTGGGATGGAGCCCTGCATCGGGCTCCTTACTCAGTAGGGAGCCTCTTCTCCCTCTCCCTCTGCCTTCTGTTCCCCCTGCTTGTGCTCTCTCTCTCTCTCTGACAAATGAAAGAAAAGAAAAGAAAAGAAAAGAAAAGAAGGAAGGAAGGAAGGAAGGAAGGAAGGAAGGAAAGAAAGAAAGAAAGAAAGAAAGAAAGAAAGAAAGAAAGAAAGAAAGAAAGAAGAAAGAAAATACTTATTTAAAAAAAAAGGCTTTAGAGGGCACCTGGGTGGTACAATCAGTTAAGCGTCTGCCTTTGGCTCAGGTCATGATCCCAGAGTCCTGGGGTCAAGATCAAGTCCCATGTCCAGCTCCCTGCTCAGCAGGGAGTCTGCTTCTCTGCCCCGTCCCTGGCTCATGCTCTCTCTCTCTCTCTCTCTCTCAAATAAATATTTAAAATCTTAAAAAAAAATAAAAATAAAAGGCTTTAGATGTTGGAGGCACAACAGTTATTTTCAGCTCTCAATAAGAAATCAGGGTCAATAAGAAATCAGGGAAGAGGGCGCCTGGGTGGCTCAGTTGGTTGGGCGACTGCCTTCGGCTCAGGTCATGATCCTGGAGTCCCTGGATTGAGTCCCGCATCGGGCTCCCTGCTCTGCGGGGAGCCTGCTTCTCCCTCTCCCACTCCCCCTGCTTGTGTTCCCTCTCTCGCTGTGTCTCTCTCTGTCAAATAAATAAATAAAATCTTTAAAAAAAAAAAAAAAAGAAAAAAGAAATCAGGGAAGAAAGCATAGATTTAAAGCTTCTGATTTTTAAAAAGGTGTCTCTTTTTAAAGAGAATAAGTGTCTAGGGAAAAAGAAAGCAGCAGCTCTGGAAAACTACAATTTATATAAAAACAACAGTATTTAAAAAGAGAGAGAAATAATTTTAATAGTAAATTCAAAGCATAGCCTCTTATCCTTTAAACATTATTTTTGGTCCCATATTGTAAGTTCTATTTTTCCTTAAAAAAACAATCAACCAGATTCAGAGACCTGATTAATTTGCTGCAGTATTTCCTAAGTGCTGTTCTTAAAACACTGATCCATGGAAAACCAATATGTAGAAATATACCTCAAAAAAGGAAGTCCTATGATCAAAAGAGTTTTGAAATATGGTTGTCAAAATCACCATGAACATTAGTATTATTGCATAGTATTATTAAAGGCTCTAAGAAGTAATTATATAAATAAATTTGTTTCACCTTTTAAGCTCAGAATATCCCACTTATTTTGTCTACAACTCAATTCTCCCAACTCCTCTAGCAAGTATAAGATGTTATCATTTTATTAAAACAGTCTTCTGGGGCGCCTGGGTGGCTCAGTTGGTTAAGCGACTGCTTTCGGCTCAGGTCATGATCCTGGAGTCCGTGGATCGAGTCCCGCATCGGGCTCCCTGCTCGGCAGGGAGCCTGCTTCTCCCTCTGACCCTCCCCCCTCTCATGTGCTCTCTCTCTCTCATTCTCTCTGTCTCAAATAAATAAATAAAATCTTTAAAAAAAAAAAAAAAAACAGTCTTCTGAAAAATACACACCAAGGCAATGCTGGTCTGTCTCGTGGAATGAGTTTAGCCTATTATTTTATTTTTTATTATTTTTATTATTTTTTGTTTTTGACTTATTATTTTCCTAACAAGATTCATGGAGAAAACGAACAAGAATTTACTTTCAAAGAGCCATGTAACATAACTGCCTAATTTAATATTTTATTTTGATAGAATGATCTCTTAAATCAGAATGATCTCTGAAACACTGAGAATAACTCTAAACTAGCTTACATTGTTTATAAAACTTTTAACCAGTTCATAACTTTTTCCAGTTTTCAAGATTTACAAATGGTATCAAATTTTTAAAATACATTCATAATATTAATGTATAATTTTTAAAAATAGGAATTATTTCACAAGGAAAAATAAGCAATATACTCTCTTCTTGACTCCTTTCAAGAGTCAAGAATCACTATGATATTTAAGCTTTATTCCTTTTTACCTATATTAACAATAATCAGTTCTTTTAGGCTAAAAATGTGTTGGAAACAAATACTCTAAAAACAAATCTTACCACTGGGCATTCCCATAATAATGCATCCTCTATTTTTTCTGATTTGGAACATTTTGGCATTTCATAAAGTTTTCTTGGCTCTGATGCAATGCTGGGAAAAAAGAAAAATGAGCAATTATTCTTTTTTTTTTTTAAGATTTTATTTATTTGCGAGAGAGAGAATGAGAGACAGCATGAGAGGGAGGAGGGTCAGAAGGAGAAGCAGGCTCGAGCAGGTAGCCTGATGTGGGACTAGATCCCGGGACTCCAGGATCATGACCCGAGGTGAAGGCAGTCCTTTAACCAACTGAGCCACCCAGGCGCCCAGCAATTATTCTTGATAACTGAGACAGTGTTTGCTCAGCTGAGTGATTTTTTTCTTTCAGAGATTTGGAATACCAAGATATAACTTGCTATTTTGCTTTCCTTTTCTTTTTTTTTTTTTTAAGATTTTATTTATTTATTTGACAGAGAGAGACACGGTGAGAGAGGAAATGCAAGCAGGGGGAGTGGGAAAGGGAGAAGCAGGCTTCCTGCGGAGCAGGGAGCCCGATGCGGGGCTTGATCCCAAGACCCTGGGATCATGACCCAAGACGAAGGCAGATGCTCAACTGGCTGAGCCACCCAGGCGCACCATTACTTTCCTTTTCTTAACTAAATGTTAACATTTTTTTTCTGATCATAAAATTCACAATAAAATTCATAGAAAATCTGAAAAATAAAGTAGATTATAATACTATAAGATTACAAAAATAACCATTATTAACATTTTGGTTCATTTCCTTCTGGTTTTCCTTTATATTACATATACTTACCTGCAGATTATTTTCCCAAATTGGATCATACTGAATTCTTTCTTTACCCTTGGACATTTACTGTGAATATCTCTGCTGAATTCCAAGGGGTTCATAAACCGTTATTCTAATACTATAAAATGAAAATTAGATAAAGAATGTCTTTATTTTAGGATGAAAATTAGTGGGTAAAAAAAGGAAATACCTTTGCGGGTTTTTTACTCCCAAATTCCCTTTCAGAAAGGTTGAACAAGTTTTTACCTCTACCAGTACTGAACACAACATTTTTTATGTGAAAAACAGTCCCTTACCTTTAGTTTATACTTCCCTGATTACTACTGAGATATGATCATAGATGTTTTCCTTTTTTTTTTTAACTGATTAACTTTAAAATTAAACTACTATTTAGAAACAATTTTCGGGGCACCTGGGTGGCTCAGTCAGTTAAGCATCTACCTTCGGCTCTGGTCATAATACCAGGGTCCTGGGATAGAGCCCCAAGTCAGGCTCCCTGCTCAGTGGGGAGCTTGCTTCTCCCTTTCCCTCTGCCAATTCTCCTTGCTTGTGCTCTCTCTCTCTCAAATAAATAAATAAAAATCTTAAAAAAAAACAAAAAAAACAATTTTCTGAGTGACAATTTTATTCACCTTTGATGTTCTCTGATTCAAAGGTTTAAACCAAACAGAATTTCACAGGAATGAAAGCAAGCTCAAACTTCTAAACTATGGGTGATTCTTAAACTATGGGTAAAACACCCCTGAATGCCATAGTAAAGAACTCCAACTACTTATTATTAGATCACCAACCAATGCCACCTACTCAGATTTAAATTTTTTTAATTAAAGCAGATACCTCTAAACTGGGTAAGTTATGAAATGGGCATTAAATGATACCAAAGAATTACTACTAATTTCGTTAGGTGTGGTAATGACATTATCATCATATAAGGAAATGTCCAGGTATCCACTTCCAACATGATAGCATGAGGAGCTCTATGGGCATGCTCTCCAGGAAAACTGGTGAAAACTATAAAAGGACAACTATTTAAAGTCTCTGGAAATGGTCCTAGGGGCATACAGCAAACAAAGAAACATTTATTCCAAAAAATCTACTAGAGTTCAGTAAGAATAGTGAGAGTCTATGATGTTTGATCTAGGATGTGCTGCTTCCATACTGTTCTTAGCTTAGCAAGATGAAAACTACTCCAGGGGCGCCTGGGTGGCTCAGTTGGTTAAGCGACTGCCTTCGGCTCAGGTCATGATCCTGGAGTCCCGGGATCGAGTCCCGCATCGGGCTCCCTGCTCGGGGGACTCTGCTTCTCCCTCTGACCCTCCTCCCTCTCGTGCTCTCTGTCTCTCATTCTCTCTCTCAAATAAATAAATAAATCTTAAAAAAAAAAAAAAAAAAGATGAAAACTACTCCAGACTGGTGTAGCCAAGAGCACAGGACTCCCCCTACCCCCAGCTCCCAGAGGGCCACCTTCTTGGGGGACCAGGATGACAGCATTTCTCATGTAGCTCCCAGCTGCTTGTTGTTGGGGCTGAGTCCTGGGTGAGTGTAGTCAAAAAGTAGGGCTCCCTTCTTCCACCTAGCCCCAACTCTATCTTGGGCGTGGCATGCCTAAGAATACAGAGGCTCTGATTACCCTTAGCCCACCTCATAAAGCAGTGGTTCCACATTAAGAGAGGCAAAAAAATCTGAGGCTAATGTTTGCTTTAACTCCAGGTGCTCAGCTTTTAGAGTAGGGGAGTCACTCAGAGAGAAGCATGCCATTGATTCCCCCCCATACCCCAGGACCAACTCTAAAGCCTCGGCTTGAAGATTTTGCCTGGGGGGAAGAAGCAGGCTGTAAAGCAGATAGCCCTATTCTCTTCCCAGAGGAACTGACTTCATTTGCAACAGAGTGTAGAGAAGTTCTAGCCTAAGAGCACTCTCTAAACAGTGGAGTTTGTGGTGAAAGGCAAAGATTGAAGAGACAAAGAGACAGATCTCCTTGCTCAGCGGGAAGCCTGTTTCTCCCTCTCCCTCTGCCTGCCGCTCCCCCTGCTTGTGCTCTCTCTCTCTGTCAAATAAATAAATAAAATCTTAAAAAAAAAAACCCTAAAAATCAAAAGGAAATGCTAAAAATCAAAACTCCATACAAATGAAGAATGTTTTTGATGGGTTCATCAGTAGACTGGACACAGCCAAGGAAAGACTGGTAAACTTGAAGATATGTCAACAAAAACTTCCCAAATTAGAACAACAACAACAAAAATGATAAAAGCAGAACACAATATTCTAGAACTGAGGGACAATTAGAAAAGGTGTAACATACACATAATGGGAATACTAAAAGAATACTAAAAGAAAAAGAGAACAGAAGAAATACTTGAAATAATAATGGCTGAGAATTTTCCAGAATTAATCACAGACACCAAACCACAAATCCAAAAAGCTTACAAAACACCAAGGAGGATAAATACCAAAAAACCTATACCAGGTACATACTATTCTAACTATAGAAAATCAAAAATAAAGAGAACATCTTGAAAGAAGTCAGAGGGAAAAGCACCTTATCTAAAGAAGAACAGGGTAAGAATTACATTGGACTTCTCTTCAGAAAACATGCAAGCAAGTAGAGAGTGAAGTAAAATATTTAAAGTGATTTAACAACTCCCACCCACAGTCTTTAAGACTCCTGGACCCAATTCCAATATGGGGGGAGGGGGTCTCCCACACACAACACCAAGCAATTCTCAGACACCAGCAGAGTGTTGGAGAATTCAACTCAATTCTTACACTATCTACTAGGAGATAGCATCGGATTCCAAGGTTAAGGATTCAGTCCAACCAGACTGCCCTCCACCACCCATTTCAGATGCCAGCCACCAAGCCCCCAGGCAGTTATTTGTGTTTCTGACCCATGGGCTACAGATTGGGGTTCCAGTGACCTTCTCCTTAGTTTCTTTTAATTTGATAGAATGGCTCACAGAATTCTGGGAAACATTTACTTATGTTTACCGGTTTTTAAGGGATATGATAAAGAATACAAATCAACACCTAGATGAAGAGATACACTGGAAAAGGTATAGAAGCTCCATGCCCTCTCCAGGCAAGCCACTCTCCCCACATCTCCAAGGGTTCACCAACCCAGAGCTCTTCAAACCCAGGCCTCTTGAGGTTTTATGGAGGCTTCACTGTATAGTTGTACTAAGTCATTGGCCAGCAGCTGATTCAACCACCAACTCTCCTCTGTTGCCTGGAGGTCCGGGTTGGGACTAAAAGTCCCAACCCTCTAATCACATGTTTGGTCCTCTAGGCAACAAGCCCTTACACTTGGGTGGGGTCTGAAAGTTACCTTCCATTAATAACAAGACACCTACCTCACCTTTATGGGTCTAAAGCATTTTCAGGAACTGTAGATGAAGAGCAAATATATCTGAGAAATATATTTTGGTCACCTGAATGACCAAATACAGATTTTTTTTTAATTTAAATTCAATTAGCCAACATATAGTACATCATTAGTTTTTGATATAATGTTCAATGATTCATTAGTTGCATATAACACCTAGTGCTCATCACATCACATTCAAATATATATTTCTAGGCGGGTGTCCCCTTCCTCCCTCACCGCTCCATGTGCGTCCCTCCCGAAGCTGCGCGCTCGGTCGAAGAGGACGACCTTCCCCGATAGAGGAGGACCGTTCTTTGGTCAAGGGTATACGAGTAGCTGCGCTCCCCTGCTAGAACCTCCAAACAAGCTCTCTCAAATATATATTTCTTATAAATCATTATATCACACCCAACGAATCTAGGATTTTTTTTTTTTTTTAAGATTTTATTTATTTATTTGAGACAGAGAGAATGAGAGACAGAGAGCATGAGAGGGAGGAGGGTCAGAGGGAGAAGCAGACTCCCTGCCGAGCAGGGAGCCTGATGCGGGACTCGATCCTGTGACTCTAGGATCATGACCTGAGCCGAAGGCAGTCGCTTAACCAACTGAGCCACCCAGGCACCCCGAATCTAGAATTTTGTATCCCGAGAAGTCATCCTTCAAAAGTCAAAAAGAAATCAGGTTTTCTCAAACAAAAATTGAGGGAATGTGTTGCCAGTGGATCTGCCTTTCAAGAAATGTTCAAAAAAGTTCTTCAAAAAGAAGAAAAATTATATAGGTCAGAAACTCAGATCTACCTTAAAAAAGGAAGAACGTTAGAAAAGGAATAAATAGGGGCACATGTGTGACTCAGTTGGTTAAGTGGCTCAGATCATGATCTCAGGATCATGCCCCGAATCCGGCTCCACGCTCATCAGGGAGTCTGCTTGAGATTCTCTCTCTCTCCCTCTGCTCTTCCCCCTGCTCATGTGCATGTGCGCCCACGTGCGTTCTTTCTCTCTCTCAAATAAAATAAATAAATAAAAGAAAAGGAATAAATAAAGGTAAAATAAAATCCTTTATTTTTCTTATTCTTAATTGATTTAACAGATAAAAAATTGTTCGTAATAATAACAGCAACAACGTATTCAGTGAATATAGCTTATGGATAAAAAGAATGGCATCAACATTATAAAAGGCAGGAGGGAGCAATTAGAAATACTCTATTATAAGGTAACTACACTACCCATGTAGAGGTATAGTGCTACTTGAGAGTGATTTAGATTAGTTGTAAATATGTATTACAAGTTCTAAGGCAACCATTAAAAATTTTTAAAAATAAGTATAATTGATATGCTAAAATAGAAAATGGAATCATATAAAACACTCAATTAAAAGCAGAGAAGACATAAAAAAGAATGAAAGACCAAAAAAGACCAACTATATCAATAATCACTTTAAATGTGAATGATCTAAATATACCTATCAAAAGGCAGAGACTGTCAGAGTAGATAAAAAAACAAGATCCAAATACATGATATCTACAAGAAACCCATTTCAAATATAAACACACAGATTATAGCAAAGGAATGGAGAAAGATATACCACACATACTAATCAAAGGAAAGCTGGAGTAGCTACATTAATTTTAGACAAAGTTGACTTCCACAATAAAAATTATCAGTGATAAACAGTGGCATTACATATGATAAAGGGGTCACTTTTCGAAGAAGACATAAAAAATCCTTAATGTGTATGCATCTAACAACACAATATCAAAACATGTGAGACAAAAACTGACAGAACACAAGGAGAAACAAATCTACCATTATAGTTGGAGACTTCAACACATCTGTCAGTAACTGGTGGATCCAGCAAGCAGAAAGTCAGTAAGGATATAGCTGAACTGAACAGTACTATCAGTCAACTGGATCTGACTGACTTCTATACAATACTTCATCCAATAACAGCAGAAGACACATTCTTCTCAAGCTCATATGAAATTCACCAAGAGAGACCATAATCTGGGCCATAAAACACACCTTTACAAAATTAAAAGAGTAGAAGTAATACAAAGTATGCTTTCAGACCACAGTGGAAATAAATTAGAAGTCAATAATAGAAAGCTGGAAAATCCCAAAAGATTTGGAGATTAAACAACACAATTCTAATTAACACATGGGTCAAAGAAGTCTCGAGAAATTTTAAAATATTTTTTAACAAAATGAAGATGAATAAAATATATAAACATTTGTGGGATGCAGCAAAAACAGTGCTTGAGGGAAAAGAATAGCACTAAATGTATATATTACCAAAGGAGAGAAGCTTCTGGGTTGGTGAACACATAGAGATTTAGGGACAGTAGTATGCTCAAAGAGCATGGATATTCCATGCCCCTTCCCACATACCTACATATCTCTTCTATCTGGCTGTTCTTGAATTATATCCCTTTATAATAAACTGGTAATTCTACTAAAAAGTCAATCACAAAAGACCACATACTATGTGATTCAATTTATATGAAATGTCCAGAACAGGTGCATCTATAGAGACAGAAAGTCTATTGAAGGTTGATGGGACTATAGCTTAATGGAATACGGTTTCTTCTGGAGGTGATGAAAATGTTAACTGTAGCGATGGTTGCCTATATGAACCACAATGGTTCACCAAAATTCCTCTAAAAACCATTAAATTGTATACTTTAAATGGGTGAACTGTATAGTATGTGAATTATATCTTAATAAAGCTATTAAGAGAAAGAAAAAAAAGTCTTATTATTTTTTAGAGAAGCAAACTTAAGTATGGCATGGTGTTTCGAATATGCTTTAAAATAGTTTATAAAAAGGTCAAGGAAAAGGGGACAATGGGATAGATAAGCAAATGCAGCAAAATCCGGATCGCTTTTGAATCTAGTAATGAGTATATGGAGGTTCACTATACTACTCTCTTTGAAGCAAGTTTGAAATTTTTCTTTTAAAACAAACAAAAAAAATGCAAGTACTTCCAAAACAAAACAAATTCTCTAGGGGCGCCTGGGTGGCTCAGGTCATGATCCCAGGGTCCTGGGACTGAGCATCGGGTATTGCATCAGGCATCACATCGGGGTTCTCTGCTCAGTGGGGAGACTGCTTCTCCCTCTCCTCCCCGCTCGTGGTCTCTCTCGCTATCTCTGTGTCTCTCTCTCTCAAATAAATAAATAAAAATCTTAAAAAAAAAATTATTCTGTAAAGCAGCATCTAATTATTAGATACCTGGCTCCCTTGACTCTGGTATCTTCTAAGCATAATAAGACTATTCCATACCCTGAGCAACCCATCATTTTGCCCGCACTATAAAGTAAATTCGTTCTAAATTGGTATTTGCAAAGATGAAGTCTTAGTGTAACTTTGGATTTAACAAGATTTTAAAATTACAACCCATTTTATTACCTATTCTTATTTTGGGGCTCATTTTTCCATTCTCCTATTTCATTAAGCACTGATATAGCATGTGGTTCTATAAAAATTAGTTAAGATTAACAATGAGGTGAATTACAGCAAAAATGTTCATCAAAAAGATACCTGCTGACACAGCACCGATAATTGTCAAAATATATTCTTCCTCTCTCGTAGGCTATAGGTGACTTGGAATGAGTTGTCCACACATTCTTAAATTTAGTACTTTCCTGAAAGACACAAGGAATTTTGGTTTAGGGAATAATTCATAAGTCTCTACCGTGCACCAATTTTAAGTGGGAGAGTTAAATCTACAGCCAGTTTTCAAAGTAATCTCACGTTACGTTATTTAAAACATTATGTTCCTATCTTCCTCACTCTGCCCTCACGTGTTAAGCCGGGTGACCAAATTTTAGGAAGATCGTTTGCAGGAAAGATATAAGAAGCTTAAAACGAAAAGCATCTGGAGGTTCTATTAATAGCTATTTACTAATTCCCCAGGTTCAGGGCCTGGATTCCCTGCTCATCACATGTGATCTTCTCAAAAGGAGGCTCTAACGCTGAAAAACTGCACCCCGGCAGGAGGCTTGGCCGCCAGTCGCCCCGCTGCCCTTGGCCCCGTTCCCAGCCGCCGGCGATCACCTGGCACACCAGCGCCCTCAGGATGCCCAGGTTCGTCCTCTGCACCACGCCTGCGTCCCGCGAGAAGAAGCCCAGCGCCCGGCGACTCAGCTGGCGGCACACGTTGGGTTTCCGAGTTGGGCCCATGGAGGCAAGGGCTGGGTGCGGGGTTGGCTGGGCTGAAGAGGGGAGCGCCCCTCGCTCCCGCGCAAGGCAGCGGCCGTTACCTCCGAACCTCCAGGCCCCAACTCCTTGAGGGACCCAGGAAAAGCTGACACCGGGAGCCGGGCAATGAGCGCACGGCCGTGGGGCGAGATAAGGCGGAATCGGCACCGCCTGAGCGCAGAGTGAAGGAAAAGACTCCCCTTCGGCCTGCCCCTCAAACACTCTGCAGCGCTGGTGCGGGTAGTGTGACGCCCCCGTAACGCGCGGCCTCCTGGAGCCGTTCCCTCAACGGGAAGTGTAGTTCCCAGAGCCCTTTGAGGGAGCCTGGCTAGTTCCCAGAACTACAGTTCCCATCAGGCGGCGGGAAGAGAGCTCTTGAGCCGGCCCCGCCTCCAACCAGCCGTGGCCCCGCCCGGCCTCGCCTCCTCGGGCCGGGCGGAGACTGCGCTGTGCGGCGGGCGTCTCTTTCCTGCTCTGCACGCGGTGCGGGGCGGAGCACCGGGACGCTGTGCTGCCGCCTCCTGGCGTCGGTTTACTGTGCGAATCGTGCCGCCCCGGTACGCTCACGCCCATCAGCTCCCGACTTTCGTTCTGGGAGGCGCTGACCGGGTGCCGAGAGGGCGCTGTGTGGAGTGCTACTCCCCTCCCCCCCCCACACACACCAAAGCAGCGTCCGTGCTAAAGGTACGCCCCGCGGCTTTCCCTTCAGTCGCACGTTGGACATTGTGGATGAGGTTGACGGTTAATCATTTTGGGTCTATAAACATTATGCTATTGTATTATGAGTGAGTGGTGGAGGATGCTGGCATCCCCACCAAACTAGGGTTGAATTACTCCTCCAGAGCTCGCCCTTCTTGGCCTGCGGGGACACAGGCTGGTTTTGCGATAATTGCTGCGTTTTCCTTTCTCTCGCCTCTTTTTTTTTTTTTTTTCTTCTTTGGGTAATAAAATACGAAATGTTTACATTCTTATCAGACTAAGCTATTCCACGTTGATTCCTCTAAGTAAAAGGTAACTTTGTCAACTACCCCTGCCTGTAGGGTCAAAGTTCCCACTACACTACGTTTTCAGTAATCGTGCAGTAGGTGTGCCCCCTCGCTTTGCACGTCCCTTGAGGGTGGTGTCTTTGTATCTGCCACGTGGGCTCGGGCGTGCTACCTCTTGTTCATGTGTGGGCAAGGGCGTGATCGCCTCTGACTGACAGAGCAGAGTACAATACTGGGTGAGTGCGTTGGGTCACAACTTAAGTGTTTAGTAAAAATTTGTCACATCTCTTTTTAACCCTGCTGAATTTCCTTCAGGGCCTGGGCTTTTGCTGATTTTTCATGACTTATTTACAGCATACTGTGGAGTGCTATGTGTATTTTTAGAGCGCGCTATAATAGTTAATTTGGTAATTCATGAATGCAGCTGTCACTGAGAAAACTGGGACCCAGAAAAGAGAACTGGATTTTCTTTGGATGAAATGAAATTCAAATCGTTGCTGACTGAAATTCATCATCTCTCTTTTCTCATTCCTCTTCACCCTCACTTGTTTGTCTTCCTTTGGTCTTTATCTTACCACCAGCTCACCCAGAGGGCAGTCATCCTGGATACCCTCCTTTCCTCACCCACAACCAAGTCCTTTTGATTCTAACTCCTATCCATCTCCTTTTTATATCACCTAAGTAATTTAGGGCCTCACCATTTTATCACATTATTATATTAAGTAGCCTCCTTCCTGCCTTGCTTAAGTACTTTCAATTCGAACCCTCCATACTGCTGCCAGAGTGATTTTTCTAAAGCACAAATCTGTCATTTCCTTATTAAAATCTTTCAGTGGCTTCCAATCACCCAGAACAGAATTTCTCAAGCCTGAGTAGATACCCAGGATTCTCTATTGTTAACTTAAAATATTTTCAGTATGTTAAATATATGCAAATATAAAACTATATATAAACTCCTTATGTTGTATATCTTATACAACTATAACTCCCAGTTATAAGTTAAATGAAGCAAAAATAAAACAAATAAATTCAAATGAATACTTACTTTTACCAATGAGACTCTTTTTGCTGGACCTAATACGCTCCAAAAGCAAATGTTCATTGTCCTCCATAGCATAATTTCCTTACAAAAGGCCTGTCCGTTTTGTACTTGTGTTGAGATTACTCAATGCCTTCATCTCTTTTCTTTATTTAAACCACTGCAAAGCTTTCCTTTGTTCAGTGTGTCGTCATTTCATTTGACCTTCACTTGTCAAACACCATCATTTACATAAAGTAGTTCCCATTTCTTTCTCATTAACCTGTGCCGATGACAAATGATACCGGTTGTTTGCCAGTGCACTGCTAAACACAAACATGTGAACTGAAATCTTATGACAGTTATCAATTAAAAGTTGGCCATTCAGATGATCCAGAGTATCCTTTTAAAAAAATGTTTTTGGTTTTGATTTTTATCAAGTTGAAAATAAAAGATTTCTCTAAGAGAAACGTAGCCTTGGGGCTACGTCTACAGATCCCTAGGGGTCTGTGTAGGTGCCTTATAAGACAAAATCTGAATCCCTTAATGTAGTGTACAGGGCACTGTTATCTGCATACTTACCCACACTTTCGGCCATATTTCTTTGTCCATCCTTAACATTTGCTATTGCGGTTCTGACATGTTGCTCACTTACTCAAGCCAATGTATCTTTGCATCTTAAATTTTCTTTGGAGCTCCCTTCCTTTCCTTCTCTTATCTGTTTATCTCATGACTCATCCCAGGTATTGCAGCTCCGCTCAGACACTTTTCCTGACCCCTTCGCTTTAGTTATAGTCTTGCCTCTTCTAACATGTTACTCTGCATACATTGGTTGCAGCACTGTATTAGAATTGTTTGTCTGTCTTCCCAACATATTGTTTTTATTCTTTTTTTTTTTTTTTAAGTAGGCTCTATTCCCAAAGTGGGGCTTGAAATCACAACCCTGAGATCAAGAGTTGCATGTTCTACCCACTGAGGCGGCCAGGTGCCCCCCAATATACTGTTTTTAGAGTAGTCCATTCATTCATTCAACATACATATGCATTGACCACATTTTAGGCAGTATCCTAAGGATGCATATGTATGTTGAATAAATGGGCTATTCGAAGGACAATATATAGGATCTATAATTGGCAACTAAAACCTTTAACATACATGCAGATTTATTCTCCCTTTATTCTTTAAATCAGTAGGAAACCACAATGTTCATAAGAAGAAATAACCTTTTTTTAAAAAAAAAACATTTTATTTATTTATTTAATAGAGAGAGAGAGAGAGAGAGACAGCGTGAGGAGGAACACAAGGAGGGGGAGTGGGAGAAGGAGAAGCAGGCTTCCGGCCCAGCAGGGAGCCTGATGTGGGACTCGATCCCAGGACCCCAGGATCATGACCTGAGCCGAAGGCAGTTGCTTAACCAACTGAGCCACCCAGGTGCCCCAAGAAGAAATAACTTTTTAAAAACTTAAATCCCCAACAGTTCTACCTATAAAAGTAGATATTTTTTCCATTTGTTGAAGGTAAAATGGCATGCATAGATATCCCTAGCTTAGGATTTGAAAATCTCAATTTGGGACAAAAAACAAACATTGTTTTTTGGTTGTTTTTTTTTTTTTCTTTTTCAGTCTGTGCCTATATGTTTATGGAATACTTAACCATCTTTACCATGATATTTTTGAAAATATCTTTTTTTAATTTTTTTTTTTAAGTAATCTCTACTTCCAACTTGGGGCTCTAACTCATGATCCCAAGATCAAGATCATATGCTCTACAAAATAAGTCAATCAGAGAAAGACATGTATCATATGACTTTACTGATATGAGGAATTCTTAATCTCAGGAAACAAACTGAGGGTTGCTGGAGTTGGGGGGTGGTGGGAGGGATGGGGTGGCTGGGTGATAGACATTGGGGAGGGTATGTGCTATGGTGAGCACTGTGAATTGTGCAAGACTGTTGAATCACAGATCTGTACCTCTGAAACAAATAATGCAATGTATGTTAAGAAAAAAAAAAGAAGAAGAAGATAGCAGGAGGGGAAGAATGAAGGGGGGAAATCAGAGGGGGAGATGAACCATGAGAGACGATGGACTCTGAAAAACAAACTGAGGGTTCTAGAGGGGAGGGGGGTGGGAGGATGGGTTAGCCTGGTGATGGGTATTGAGGAGGGCACGTTCTGCATGGAGCACTGGGTGTTATGCACAAACAATGAATCATGGAACACTACATCAAAAACTAATGATGTAATGTATGGTGATTAACATAACAATAAAAAATTTTTTTAAAAAGATCATATGCTCTACTGACTGAGCCAGCCAGGTGCCCCTACCATGATATTTTAAAGACAAGAAGAGATATGAATTCAGAAGTTAATAAAATGCTTTTTGTTCATACACTTTATTTAAAGAAGCATAGTATAACGGAATAAAGCATTCAGGTTATTAAACTTGAACATTTGTTCAGAGACAAATTTGAACAAAAACCACAGGCAGTCATTCATTCAGCATGTAATTATTTTCATGTATGTGATGCTGGGAACTATTTTGGCATAGGGTGTAACAGTGAATGGGATAGACAAGGTCCTACATGTGGAGGGAGATAGACAATAAATAGATTTTAAAAATAAGATTTCAGGTAGTGATAAGGGCTGTAAAGAAAAGAAAACAGGGTGATGTGCTTCATAGAGTGTGCTTGAAAACAGGGTGATGTGCTTGATAGACCTGCGTTAGCCAGAGTGGTCAGAGAAGGCCTCTTGCAGATTGGACTTTTTTTTTTTTTTTGGAGCTTGGACTTTTGAGCTGAGCCCTGAATGATGAGGATGGGTCAGTCTGTAAAGAACTGAGGTTAGAGTAGTCCAGGCAGAAAGATGCTTGAATGCAGGGTCTGCAAGGCAGTAACAACCTTGGTTTTTTTTCTAAAACTGTCAGGCCAGTGTGGCTCTTTAGTGTGCATGAGGGAGATGAACTGGGAGAGGTAGGCTAGAAGGAATTTTGGATTTTATTCTGTTGTAATAGGAAGCCAAAGGAGGATTTGAAGGAGGAGAGTGACAGGATCTAATTTGTGTTGTAATAAAATCTTTGTCTATAGTGTGGAGAATGTACTGTGGGGAGACAAGAATGGAAGCAAGGAGACAGGTGGCTGTTAAGTTGGTCCAGGTAAACAATGATAGTGTTTGGACTGGAATGGTAGCAGGAGAAATGGAAGGAAGTGAACAGATTCAAGATGTATTTTGGAAGTAGAGTTGATAAGACTTCTATTGTAGTGGATATTAACAGTGAAGAAAAGATTCAAGTGAAATCATGTTAAGCAGAACCACAAATAAGTATTCCTAAATTCCCCAGACCAATTGGAAACAGGGAACTACTTATGATTCGATGTCTATGAAGCAATACCTACATTTTATTAAATGTACACATCAGCTTTTTAGACATGAATGCTAAGGAATGTTAGGATCTGTTCTGTGGTTAGGACATGTGGAAAGAGGGAAATAAAATCAGGTCCCAGAGGGTCAGGAGTCAGAGCATGTGGGGCCATGGTAATTTGATGGAAAAATCATTAGTGATAGGACATTCCCTTTAAGAACAAGAGTGAAATAGACCATTTAGCAGGTAACTGGTGTAGTTTAGAGGTGAGAATCACATTTGGAAATTTATTTTTAAATTATTCAGGCTTTTGACCACATGTT